TATATATATATTGATAATCAAAATTAAAGAAACCTTCGTTCTTGTTCGCTCTGAACCCACCGCAAAAACTCCATACCATACAGCTGCTTGTTTCGAGCTCGCCCTGATCTGTTCCAGATAAAATACTTTGGTTACTATTTGCTGTTTCTAGAAACCTTTGATTGACAGCTTCAAGCCGCTTTTGATATCTTAACTTGCCTTGTCTTTAGTTTCCTAAGCTTTATGCTGTACTCTCTACGTAAGGATACAAAGTGTGACAACGCCGCCGCGATATGGTATTGCCAAATGCATTTATATAACAGGCAACATTTATAACATAGGACCCATCCATAGATGATGTAGACCAGACCTGTCGCATTGTATTTTTTTACTTGACGCTAACAACTAGCCTTTGAGAATATTAAGATAACAGAATTTAACACTACAGTTATCTCATATTAGCAGTAGATGAGTACAGATCTTATTGCGTGTTACTTCTGTATGTCCAAGCTCCATGGGCACATTCACACGTCCGTTCATTAAAATCAACAGATGGACTTTTGTTGGGTGACAGAAAAGCAAAAATGACCAGCACGCTTCTCTGCAACAGCTTTGCCCCTTTCAAAGGTACATTCTTAAAGGCAAAGTCAAATCAAGTTACAATTCAATAAACCAATCTGGGATAGTAAGTAATACTTCGGGCTTGAATGAGAAAACCCCACAACGGCCCACTATGAAGACTAAGTAGCGTTGTAAACTTCATATACTATATATCAACGGTTCACGAGTACGAAGCACTGCTATAGAATTGATTCGACGCGTAGTGTATTATATCGTCACCACTGTAGAAAGTTGTCGACCTATATTATATTCTTAATCATATCGAATCTGTAGCAAAATAAGGAAGCGTTGCTCCGATAGCTCGGAGCTATAGAAAAAACACTCCAACTGCTAGAAATCTAAGTGAGCAGTATTAACAGATTGTCTTGTCCAACTTGCAAAAGACCACGCAAAATTATGCCATGTTTAAAATAAGGTAGATCGCGCTACAAGTCTATTAAACGTAGCACACAGTTGGTGTTAATATCGGGGTGCAGAAGAGAATTGATAAGGCTTTTCCTTGGGAACCCCTAAACATGCCCTTTGTACGTGTAATAAGCTTCAACAAGCAAGCCGTAACTTTACGTATATAATCTCAAAGCGCTTGTGAAGTCATCCACTATACTGAATTCTATTCCTTTAGATATTTTTAATATGCACGCCTTCCACATGGAATAGCGGTACGAAACTCGTTGCTCAAGTAACATCTAAACAGAGCGGAATTTCGGCTATATCGTTCGCCTTTGTGTCCAGAAATGGAAACATGTCGGCCACGTTTTATGTCTCTTACGGAACAAATATGCCCATTAGCATAAGTGCGTCCGCTGGAAGCCCGGGAAGCAGCAAAATCGTCCAGATAAACCATAAAGGTTGTCCGAAGACTGCTGAGTATGGCTAACCACTAGGGTTCATGCAGGCTTTAGCGTAATCAAGTTGGCTTCAGAAAATTGCATCCACATCGACTATTCTAGCAAGCACTAGAAGTAGCTGCTCAACAGCACTTTATCGCTACCCACGGTAAGAATGTCGCAATCGAGAACGTACCCGGATTGGCAACTTATCACTAGAGAGAACTACCACATTAGAGAGCTTCGTGCCATAGTCGACTTGTAATTCGCTGAAACCGTCGAGCTATCACGAAATATCATTCAGCAGGATAGCTGTTCATTTTCAAAAACAACCGCCTTATTGCAAACAGCTCCTTTCAAACAGCTCCTTCCCCAATCCCCCTCACCGCCGGGAATAAGAGCTAAAGCTCGTCTTTGACCCGTTATTCTCACGGCAGAATCTTAATACGGTTCTTGTTAAAGGTGCAGAATCGTTCGCTTAGGTATACAACAGACACAGTTACATTCAACTTCGTTGTTTTACGAACTGTGCTGCGTATATATTAACCTTTGTGTTCTCTATAAACAAGTACACGTTTGCAAAAAATAATTAAAAATTTACTGCAATCCAATTGTTTTTCGTACGTACATTTTTATATCATATATTGTAGCATTTTTGGTAAGTAATTGTATTTATCCCTTCGAAAATAAACGATTTATTGTTTCACACAATGTATAATCTTTGCTCGATGGCAGTTGCTTTCCTTTACGACAATATGATTCCATATGTTCACGCCATACTCTGATTGATCATTCACAGAGCAATCATCGATATTTCCATGACTCTAGTTAAATGTGTTCCTTGCACTGTCGTAAGCCAACTGTTACATCAAGTGATAAGGATGTGTTTAGGCGCGCCTAAACCTGCGTATTTTTGTTTGAATACACTAACATTTTCTTAAATTGTACCTTTCTGTACGACTGTGATAGAACGGATACGTACAGCCACTTCTAGGTCTCTCGCTTCGGCTCAACCCTCATTAAGCCCATAGCCATATCTAGACGACTGGACTGATGGGCTGATGCCACACTGAAAATTTGATACTTTAACACAGAAGACACGTCGTTATTGCGGCGCGTTCGCTCTAAAAGGACGCATTTTAACCATTGAGAACCTTTAGCTTACTGCGATAATTTTAACTCGATTATTAGTTAAAAAAAAAAAAAAAAAAAAAAAAACATTGTGAAAAGAGTGTTGGAAAATATCAACTTCGGCTTAAATAACACAAGTGTTATATATTGTCTGTGTGATATCATTGTTAATTGTCTTTTGGTTTAATGATCCCTAAATGCATTCAGCGTATACAGTCGAAGCGGAATTCGTCAATCTGAGGAAACAGATGTCTGTCGTGAACTTGCGAATTCGTAAAAAGCCAGTTCTGTCCGATAAATATTCCTTTGAGTGTGTCCCTGGGAATCTCCGAAGAGTTGCGTAGTTGTTTACTGGAAAATTCGTGATTATCCTACGAAATGTACAAAATGGCTTCACAGTGTGGAATCCCAAACGATGACAGCATGGGAAATAATATAAATAAGGATGTCAGTTCCTTGATTACACATATGAGACATCTCGATATGATCTCTGAGCAGCGACGCATGCGAGCTATTGGTGCGGGCTTAAAAAAAGTTCTCGCTGGTATGGACTTGGAGCTGGCTGACATTCGATCGAATATCCAGGCTCACAATGGGCGGGAGAGTCTTCAGCGTGCTGCCGTCCTACAAATTATCCACGAGAATCGCAGCATGTCTCGATGGTTACTTTTTAATTATGGAGACTCGCAGCTGAATCAGCTGTTCGAGAATTTCCACTCGAAGCTGGCTGAGCAAGCCGTTCTAGCTGCGTTTCTTTTTTCTAAAGAACACAAGAGTAAGGTGGACAATGTCGCAGTTCCACTTTGCCCCGCTGAACCAACGAATGGAAGCACGTCCGATCCCATTCACGATTGCCATAGCCGACCTAAATCAGCGTTCAAAAGCAGTGATGGAATATTTACAGGTGTCGAAGTCGTGAATGAAAATAGTGTTGATTGCGGAAAGGAAGAAAATTCTAAGTACGATCGAGCCGATGATCGAAAATGTGCTTCCAACGACGGTGGCATTTGCGACTTTGAAGAAGATCACTATGGACACGACGGGTGTGCAGGAAGCTGCGACGGGATCGACGACTATGAAGGTTGTAAGTACAGAGGTTCTGAGTTTGAAGACTCTGAGGAATACGGGGGAGACGAAAGATCCGAAAAAAACATTTCGAATCAAGAAGAATGGACCTGCACTGGACCGAACGGGCAAGTCGCAGAAGGCGAAGCCACTGATCACGAGGTAACGGAAGAATTCGATAATGATGACGGGGACGCTCGTGTGCTAGAAAATTTCCTAGTTATCGATAAACTTGCCTCTGCCTTTGAAGGGGAAAATCTCATTAGGGCCTGCGGTGTCAAGCAACGGCATAGCGACGAGGGAGGAGACAGTGATGAATGGGAATGCGTTGACAAGAGGAAGTCGCAAGCAAACCCACAGGTTTCCACACCCAGTTTTTCCATCACTAGCGCTGTTGATTCAAATAACAGCAAGCAAAATGCTACGGCTAGGGTATCACCGGATTTTCCATCTCTGACAAGCTTGAAAAGTACTGTCGTCGGCGACGAGGTAATTTCACAAGAGACTGGTCAAACGACCGCTGAATTTGGCCGTCATAGTCAGAATTACCAGGAGCGTTGCCGGGACGTAGATAATGTTCCAATGTTAGCTTCCTTCGTGCTCATTGCTATGTTTTTCCTGTCGATGGCAGTCATCTCGTTCGCCGCTAGCAGTGCTGGGTCTATTTTAGTAGAAAATTTGATTGAGGGATACCAACCGTTCAGTATTCGTCAGATAAAAAGGTACTTAAGTTGAGAACAGAAGACGAACAGCCAATGCAGATATTTGATGACGCTTCGAAAACGAAAAGCGCACTAATTTATTTAAGTTACTCAGATATAAAAAGCATATTGTACAACTCATTAACTGTGTATATATACAGCGAATCAGTTAAAGTAGCGCCCTAAGAGGATATTGTTATTAGTTGAACTTTAGCACTGTACCAACACTTAAAGTTAAGATGGAAAAGTAATGTGATGGTAAAGTAATGTTTTGTATGCCTGTATTCCCATTTAAGCTTGTATTAAGCCAATAAAGCATCCGCGAATCTTAGAACCGTTTTCAGAATATTAAATTGATGCAGCGTAAGAGAATTATCATTTCCAAGTTAGTATATTTTTTATGATTTTACACACTCGGCAGCATTTACGTAGCATGATTGTTATCGGGATGCTGTCCTAGTACGATCTGTTAAATGAACGTGCTGAGCTAATCAGCCCGTAAACTTGTATGCTCAAAAAGTAGAAACTTAAAGTTACTAGGTAGTAGAGAATGGATATTTAATCTAGCAGTCGGTAGTAGAACGGTAGGTGATGTCCAACTATGGCGACGGCGAGCGTTTCAGCCATTCGTCACTAGATTAATTCTGGGCACTCATTATTGAGTGCATTTTTTGCAGATCATGTGAGTTGTCGAGACTTTTCGGGACGTAAGTATTTACACAAACGTCTGCTATATACTTGAATCTCGTTTTAAGTGGTCTGATCTTAACCTCTTCCGGACGTCAAGTTTAATAACGGCTCGTATAGGGCCCTGCGTTTCCACGAGCCTGCGTGCTCTATCTTGTACAATTAGATAATTTTAACTTGTTATGAGCTTATTATTAATATATTTACCTTACAAATATAATTCAATCAGTTCTTTAGGTCCGTAGTTGAAAGCCAGAATATGCCACTATGGTGTACATGCTCTGGTATAAACTAAATTTGTGTATTGTTGTACTCCATCGAATGAAATGCTGCTAACAGTCAGGAAAACTCAAGGGTATTTCCGAAGCAAAGTATGTTAATTGAAAACACAAACACCTCTGTTAGGTCTCTCCGTCTCTGTGATACTCGTCTAGCAAGCTCTTACGGAGCTTACGAAGCTAGCACCTCCAGTAAATCTTCTGCTTATTATGAATCTTCAGTGTTTTCCAATAGGCAAGGACGTACCCTAGTATTATCAGTTGTCCCTTCTAGTAATGCCTACCTAATTACTTGGAACTCTAAATACGCAAACAATGCAGTAAGTATTAGATATCGTGCGAACGTATTTTGCTTCTCGCGTTTGCCGTGCGGAATTTTCTAATTAATGCCTTAAAAGAAGCGTTCATTTGAAAACGGTTCAAAACGTAAATAACACAGATGCTTGTTATTGTAAATAACATTGATCGTCAATCTCCGTGTAGTTTGTTGGTTACTAATACCTACTGCCCTATTAGGCCTTTGCTTGCATATCGCAATTGATTACATTGAAGGTCGTTATTATATATTAGTACAAGAGGCGGTATCTTCACTTAATCGTTATGTGAATATATAATAATGCCCTTTTGTAAGTGCTTTGAATTCCCGCTTATTTTACAATAGCAGCTGATCAATGGCGCCACGCCTTGTGCTCTCCTTATGAGCATGATAATTGACTGCTGAGGACGACGATGTTGTACCTTTCACAGCCCTAGGTCTGCGGGCATAAAATGCACGCCCATGTACCATTTGAGTGAGTCAATGGGCGACGAGGGCGAAATATCCCTCGTTGAGTTATTCGCTGGGAAGGATAATTCTAGTCTGCGTTTGTGAAATCGTCATAATAGTGAAATGTCGTAGTGAACGCTGTAAATTGGAACACATGACAAAATGGTGGACGTTTCTCAGAGTGAAGTTTTGTCACTAATAGAAAAATACAATAGGGCGGTTATAAATAGCCAAACATATCATTTTTGAGCCGTGCAAAGTTAAAAATACTAGGCATACTTTCTTTTGCATTTAACTCCTTACTACTGTGGTATTCTGTAGAATGTGGATGTCACTCCATGTAGGTCATGCCATTCTGGCACATCCATCTGGAAACGGCCTACTTCACGGTTATCGTTGGAAGTGTGCCTTTAACCGTAGAAAAACAAAGTTTCTCACAACAAATTCAATGTGAAATTTGTTTCTCATGATGTTCAATTAGAATCAAAATGCGTTACATTATTGATTAAGGGAGTTCAGATTCGATATCAATCTTTTCGACAATTTGCAGGATATGTACGCACAAAACGCTGTGTTGATACTGCAAAATTTCCTGCACTACATTGCCGTGACCCCGTTTCATGCGCTTTGGCTACTTTGTACCGTCATATTAAAGCTATTAGCTAACTTCGTGGGCTCGATAACGATCAATAACGTGGTGGTTGCCATGGGAGAAGTAACAGTAAGTGAACTATAGGATCTGCGCTCAAAGTTGAGAACCAATATTATGTATTTCTTAGTAAAATTTCACTAGTGGGTAGTATTGGACCGTGCACTCTACCGGCCGAAAGCTGTTTCTACTAGACTTTCAGATTTGTCACCGTACAAGAGCTAGTTTTGCACACTTTGTGCGATGGAATACACGTTTCCCCCCGAACCCTCCGAAGCTTCGCTCTTTAGGGTTCAAGTGTCATACAGCTAAGTACAACTTGTAAAAGGCCAACTGTCTCACCGGAATTTGCCTCCGACTAGAGGGCAATGCATTCGTCCGAAAACGCTGTCTTTCATGAAGTGTAATTGTTTCTAATTAATGAGTTCTTAAATTACGGTGTACGGTAGTAGTCTTTCAAGAATATACAAGGTCGCTTGCTTGAAAGTTTTTCACTCAGTAACAAAATATTTTGCACAGGCCAAAGTGAAAGTGACACAGTTTTACCTTTTTTGGTTGGTATTCTCCGAAGCATGTCCCTTTTAAGGCATCGATACTTGTGCGTGTGTGTCCTTATGGTTATGTCCTTATGTTATAGCTTCATAGCTCGAAACGTGGTTTCATTTGACTTTTATCTTAGATGACTTACGAACACCGACACCGAAGTGTAGGAGTCACAAGTTCCATCAAGCAAAAATCTGTATAACTCCTAACTCACCATCAATTATATATATGTTTAGTGAAAAAAATTAGGTGAGAATTCCAGTTAATTTCCAATTTGCGTTCCAGTGATCGCACAGTAGCGCACGGGAAAAATAAAAGAACAGCGAAAGCAGTTCCTAGCAAGTTTCTAGAAAATAAAAAGTTGACACAACTGTTTTTCTACGATGTGTAGAATTTTGATTTTTTTAATACGTTGACCAGATCGAAGGCATCTCGACCATGAGTAAAGTATTGTGGACACTTGTTTACGTGGCTGCATGGGTAATTTAAAGAAATCATGGTTTTTTTTTAATTATGTTTACCGCCCACAACTCAGCACCGTTTACCTGTAACGATGCATATGTTTTGTTTGGAAACCAGCTGAATTGAGTCGACATAATCTAACATCGTGATGGAACGTACAGGATCCTCCCAGAGATTGCAACAGTAATGCCGGTAGATAGTAGAACTCGAAAAGAATGTTTATTGACTTAATGATTGTTTTCCATTTGGCTATCCGCAAACAATCGAATCCTGCTTTTACTTCTGTTTGACCCTACTCCCAAACTTGTCCATTTCGGTGCCTTCCAAAACGGTCAGTCTTTTAAGCATTCGCTTAACAATATTCTATGTAGACTGCTAGTAAATACTATTCAGCTTGAAGAGGGTGCAGAGTTTGAGGATCAGTGATATAAATTGAAAATTTCCCGTCTGATATCCACTGCTACGTATGAAGCCTGTATGAAAGCGAATATGGTGACCGTAGGCAAAGTTAATGGTCATATGAAGTACAACATGGCCACTAATCATGCGTACAAATCTGAAGTAAACGTTTGTGCAGTACCGTTTCAGGAGGACATAGAATTGAAATGATGAGTGTCCTTTGCAGAGAGTTGATTGCATGTAAATTAACGTTCACTATTGGAATCATAGAGAAGTTTCGTCAGGCAAAAACTTAAGTCGTGTTTTTGTTTGTTCTATTTTTAGATGCTCTTGTGGAATACGCTGACATTTGTGGTCAACATTTTCTATTATGTCTTTGCGCTAGTTTTCACTCTTTTATACTTCACCTTCACATGCATCCTCTGGCTAAATGCAGCTGTTCGTCAGAAACATCGTGGAAATATCTGGGAAGCTTCCAATATATTTGAATCACTTGTCGTAATTCTTCTAGCGGCTGGGGTGGTGAGTATGCTTATGTGTGTGCATATGTATGTATATATGCTTGTGCGAATATATATATATATACATATATTAGATGCAAACATAGAAATATACACATTTTTTTTGACTGCCAACAACAGAGACAAATTTGAACGTGGAGTATCAGACAGCATTACCTGAACGACGCGGCACTGGTTCACTTCTGGAGTGTGATAGTGTCTGTGTATATAGGCACCAATATGAAACATGTAAATAAACGTAATTGATTGTCCTCCAAAATAGCCTTTCTATGAAACTAAGTTGTGGGCGCCTTAGTTGCCGTATTCTGACCCCTATGACGCTTCCTCGTGGAACTCAACACAACAGAGACGATCTGTCATGAAGTGATACACCGAGTATTCGAACTCGAACTTTTGTAACATACAACATTTTGTGGTATTGAAAATCAATGTCTAACATTATATGAACACCTTATTATGCTACAATCAATTTTCTGCAAATGTTAGTCACTTGACAGCAGAGGACTGTGTACCTTTATCAATAGTAGTGTCTTTGCTTATAATAGGTACGAATCAATCATTCTGTACTAGTGAATTATATAATTATTTACTGAACATTGATTGCAATATAGAACATGGTGTCCTATGTATGTAACCTTCTGTATGATCCTATGTATGTACCCTTGTAACGAAAGTTACAAGGGTACATACACAGGACCGACACTAACCAAAGTCATAGACTTGGTACTACGTTGTATTTATAAGCCACTCTTGATATATACTTGATAAGGTCTTTTTACTTTTTACGGTTTTTACAGTTTCATCTTAACAAAATATCCACCGCCTATAAAAGTAGAAAGTCTCTTCTGGCCTCAAGTTAAAAGCCTTTTGTCTGTTAGATAAACACGTTGCAAAAGGAGTTTGGATATTAATTCGTGTTCTACTTTCGTCTTGTCGCACAATCCTTCTCGACGAAATAGGCTTGGACTATAAGCTTTGTGATGAGGCTGTTGAAGAAAGCATTTTCTTCCCTCATGAACAGAGGGGTATCTCATTCTAATCAACCTGCCCAACTTACTGAACCCGCTTTACCGCCATATCAAGGCCCCGCTCAACGAAGTCAGCCTATTCAGCAAAAGCCGGTCGTGCCAGCTTCCAAGAGCGTACCTCAGCGAGGTAGGAAACGTTTGTAGTTTACGCTTTTTATCATATCATATCGTAGACTAGATATATTATATCATACAGTACAAGGATACGACTGAATGACGTTCGGGGTAAAGCATCGTCAGCCCACGGATGTGTCTGGCAATTTTTTTTGCATTAATCCTGCCGAAGATTGATGTACACGCCACAGGATACGGCGTTCTGCCATTAACTACTGAGTCCCAGTCAACTGCATACATAGGCTGCAATGCGTCTACGCTTTATATCTATAGTACAAGGGCCCACGCTTAGGATTTGGTCCCCAACCGAGACCAAGAGATTTTCATTTATTCTTGATGCTCACCTCATGGCAGAGTCGCGTGTGACTAGCGAGATTATTATATGGTTCATCACAAACTTTACCTAAATTTATGCTTAGTAGGCGGCATACGGCATCGCTATTGGGCGCTGTAGCTGTAAATACTGAGAGGCGTAGGCGTGGGCAATGAAAAGGCTCATTTTGTGAACGATAGGATCATCGTTACTGATTATTACCAAAGATAGGATCATCTTTGGTAATAATCAGTACAGAGGCCGCAGTTAAACTGCCGAAACTTAACATACAGATAGTTGCAAAGCCGCTCTAATCCTGTGCCTTTACTGCCGGCAACAAGACAAATGCTGGCACAAAGTTAGCTAAACTTTATTAGCAAAATAATGCAAAACTTAAATGGCGCATCAAACTATGGACAAAGGATAAGTCGCAAAGTATTCATTCAGGCCATTTCCAGCCAACGAACGGTTTGGCCGAATCCCCAAGAGGCTCGAGGCAGCCTAAAAATAGATGAAATCTATTTTTAAACATCCTATTTTTAGCACAGCAGCCAGTTACACTTGTCAAAACTTTGTTGTAACTTTAAAGTCCGACCTAACCGACGACGTATGCAGACCTATTGTCATCAATAACTTCGTGTCAACAACTGTCACATGAGCGGTGCATATCTAATTGGAATCAGCATATACAAGTCAAAGGCAGTATAATCGTGGCACTACAAGCTGGCCGCTTTGCCGTCGTATATACAGCATCAAATAAATGAGGCCTTTCTCAGAGGTTTTTGCTGTAACTGAATGTTCCTTGCCATCTCCGCTTTTACGATTCGCTGTAGCGCTCAGTAACTAGATGGTCTACATTCGAAGGAGACCTCCATGAGTGTCGTCTGTCTTGACTCGAAACGATCCCATCCCGTGTTTCATTTCCGTGTGGACATTTTGTGCAACGCGTACCCATCGAAGCTTGGTAGCAATTACTGCCATCGGCCGTTTTCCCACGGCCATGAAATCCGTGATAGATTGACTGTAGAATGCTGTTCGTGGGGTCCTAGCAATCTCCGAATGAACGACGCCTCGTGAATTGGAACGCACCTGTTTCGTCGAAGTGGGCCCAAATCAACTTAGCGATGAGAAATGGTGCTGAAAAACTGAGTGATGCAATGCAACGCCGTACAATATGAAAGAGGCTCTAGCGTAGACAGGAGGTTCGCCGTCAATGGAAGCTTTAGCTGTGGATGTGAACGGATTGTTGCTATATAGTAGCACTAATACGTCATGTAGGAATACCCACACACAGATGCGTACCGAATACGTTGTGGCAAAATAGCAAAGCTCGACTGAGTGAACGAAAGCGTTAGCCGTTGTTGAAATGAAACAAATTACATATGGGACATACACATATGGGACGTACGCTGCAGGCAATCTTATGTATTTAGGTTATGTCGAATATAACCTAAATACGTCGAAGGACGTACGTCGCAGGCAATCGTATATTCTACATAACCTAAATACGTCGAAGGACGTACGTTATTGACGAGACACAAGTGATATGACAAACGATACGTCCTAAGCTAAGTGAACAAATCTCGTTTGTCGATATCATTAATGACGACTGATTGATAGGAACGTTTGCCAGGGTTAAAGTAAAGGCCATTTTCGGAGTATGGTAAATGTTGTTTATTTGATAGGATGATAGAAAATCACTTCCGTTTACGAATAGCGCTACCTACCTATTTTCTTGTACGATACTTATTGTAACGTGTACGTCAATAAAGTCTATCATGATAAAATATTACTTAGTGTTATTTCAAGCTGCGCCGCATAGTCAGTTAATTAACATTTTATAGTAATAAGATTTTTTTCTTGTTATAGATATATTTTCCATAGCACGTCTCCATGTTACTGCTTTCAGAAAAAGCCTGTTTTAGACGCGATGAAAAATATAGCAGAAGGTAGATAAGTGAGCAGCGGGAACGTTCCCGTTATTGTGGAATTATACTTTCGACAAATGGATATTTTTTTACTAATGAGTCAAGTATGCATATTCCTAGGTTAGGAAAATGCAGATTTGTAGTCTAATAAAAAGAAGTTTCGTTCGAGTGTATCTTGTGTTACAGTAACCGACTGGCTTGGAGGAGCAACTAGAAATACGGATATCATGATTTGTGCCTGTCTAAGGCTCACGAAGAAACGCCTATTGCAGGCTCAATACTTTTTTTTTTCTTTCGAGTTTTCAGTATACGAGTATCAATTTGGGCGAAACATGCTATGCTAAGAATAGATTCAAAAAAAAAGGTTGAAAATCAATGATTGCTATTCATTATATCCTTTGCATCACCCAAGTTGATATTCAATTACCAGTTGGCCATTGTTGGAATTTGCTTGAACAGAAATTTCAAATAATTTGCCCTAGATCGGCACCTGCTGTTTCGGTGACATCTAACATATGATTCCCTGAGAAGAAAAAGGGGCAGCTAGGAATGGAAAACATTTTTATTTTCATTAGCGACGGATTTCACCGGACACCGATTCAGATAACGTACTGTCAATTAGATAAAATATACCAGTTTGCTATCAGACGACACGATAGCTACAAGCGCTTTAGCCAACGTTGTCATGTTTACCACGTGACAGCTACATCGATCAAAAACGGATTGTCTCATTCAACACCGCTCGCTTCACGTCCTTATGTATTCCCTTTTCATACAGCCAGACGTTTTCGGGATTACTTCTCGCTTTGTTATTTCTTTTTCCTTATTTAATTTCATTATTGAAGTCATCATATTATAGTTGTTATTCGCATAACAGCAACAGCGGAAAAAAAAATCTGTTAGAATTATTACGATCATGTATATTACAATGTTTCTAACGCCTTGCGCCGAGAACAGCCCACCACTCTCTGCTGTTCTGTTTCAATAAATAGCCAAAACCAGAATAAATAAGGGACCTGTATACGATTGCTAGTTAAAGATATCGTTGATTTCACTCACATCCCCATGGTTTGTAACCCAGTGTGCTTCGCAGATCTCCGCTTCGTAGGCCCACTCTATTACACATGCGTCGTATACTAGAGACTTAATACCTTTGGGTCTCAATCTTTTCCTACCCGTAATTTCCGAACTGCAAGGCAAAAGAAAAACCAAGTTTCCGAATGAACAGCGCGCCAGGAGTATAGACGTTTTATACAGTCTTAATCTTTAGCAGCTATGTCTTTCGAAAAATGTGTGCATTTGCTACCTTCAGTATCCTCTAAATGATGTTCTATCAGAAATGTTGTCACTTTCTTCTCGTTAGACTGAGTTCTGAATGAAGAAGGCAAGGAAAGATCGTTACGAATAGTCTCGTAAGCTTTTTGTTTTTCCTTTACGATGCCTTCGAACAGACTATGTGTAGTAATCTAATAATCAATGAGGAAAGCCGATGATCAGATAACGTAACTTCTATCCGTGACCTGACCTTAATTTCGGAGTAAAATAACTTCTACTAAAGTTACACAGTGGACACCAGCTATGGTACCTTTATCGAGGTTACGCTCCAAGTGAACGGCAACTCGTGTTCGTGCGTCAGCGAAATTAAGATGTAGGCCCACCGAAAGTATAGTCCTGTTTTGCTCTACTAACCGCGCAATCTCCATTTCCACCTGTAGATAAGAATCGAAACTTTTTTTTTGTTTTTTCAATTTAATCAAACGTGAATTGTGGTAGGATCTGTCAAGTCTGACAAAGAGCATCAAAGGGGCGCGAAAAATGTGTTCAGGTCGTTCTCACATGTTCGCTATCTATATATACTATAAGCGTATAGCACAAATATTATCTATACATAAAACTGTGGCGTACACTTGCAGTGTCCTTGTTTTTGTGAACAATACAATGCATGAATATAGTGCTGATAATACCTTACTGCCGAGAATGGACGGTCGCTGATTAGCCGCACGAAACTCCGTAACGGTTTGGGTAACGTTGATTGCTTCGAAGATGTGCTGTAACCCGTAGATGGAGATGTCAGAATGTTGGCGTCATGTATCCAGAATCGCATTACCATTTGTTGAATGACTAGGCCTTAGTGTATGTTAAACCTAGGCAATTCTATACTGCTCCTTTTTCTGAGTCGATTAATTTGCCTGTTGCAGGAACTTTTTCGATGGACAAATTTGAGGGTGCTCGTGCTACGCTTAGGCGTGGCATTAGACCACCGGACAAGCGTGCCGAATATAGCTCTCCAAGCCGGTCGCAAGCAAACGAACCCAATCGCCTACAGGGGTCTCCGCAAGGCGGAAAAATTCAACTGAAATCTGTACCTAGTAAGAGTACAAAACGTATAAGGAAGACTTCGAAACGAGCTCCACCACGGAGGATTAAGCGTCAAGTAAGCCATTCAGTGGAACACGACGAAAGCTGAATAACTTCGCTTGTTCCACTTTTTTATTCTTTTCAAAAGCAGATGAAATCTTTCGGCTCCCCATAGTGCGTACGGTGGTGAGGGCTGCATATAAACACGTACGGGACATAACAACTTTAACGAAAATCTTCGCGCATGATATAGCAGTGGCTTAATGCTGATATTAGCAGACTGCCGTTACACAACGTCTTATGAAGCTTCCCAGTATAGTCGCCGCCGCCGCCGCCGCCGCATTGAGTCTACAAGTATATTAAAAGTATTGATTAACATTAGCTGGCCACGAAGGTAAGAGATATCGGCTAATTTGAGGCCCACAAAAATGTCAAAAACGCAGGTCACCTTCTGCAATCATTGGTGACTTTTTCGGATTAGTGCCCCTATCGAGTTCCTTCGCAAGCATAGTTACAATCAAAATGCGGTTAAATACAGTCAAATTGCTAACGAAGTTCGTTGTATTTGAGTCATAAGTCAGTGCTTTTCTATATGGTGTACATACCGCGTGCGCATGTATGCATGTGTGCATTTGCCTTACCTTGAGCATGTTGCCTGAGAGGTAGTTAGACTCAACGTTAAGAATACGTAGATGTTTGTTAGATCGAAGAGCCTCGAGCAAGTGTTCGGCCGCTGAGTCCGTTAGCCGCGTATTGGCTAAAGACAACGCTGTAAGGTTTGTGTTGCGCCGAAGACCGTCAAAGAGCATTCGAAAAGCGTCGCGCTTTACTGTTGAAATGTTGTTCCAGTTCAGCTCGACCATATCGTCATCGTCATTATACACCTAAATCAGTGTAGTTTGCGTGAAGGACACACATCACTTTGTTTAAACATTAATCAATTAAAGAGACATTTGAACAGGAACAGGTCTTTCGCCTCGTAAATCCTGGTCGGAAGCACATGCAAGGATGTTAGTAACATCAGCGATTCTGCCCGCTCTCTACTTCACCAGCGAACGAGAATATTCAATTTATCTATATTCTTTTTCCTCGAACCTTTTGCGCGGTTTTTTCGGGATTCGTGGGGTTGTCGGGTAGCGGCGGAAGGGGTCGGGGCATGTGAGCTTTCACCAAAGTTTCAAACGTTGCCCACGTGCTGTGTAGGCCCAAGATAGCTGCAATGGCACAGTATTAAAGGACAATATATTCATCGCCATACATACAGCGGCACCCTATTTATACTGTACTGTACCAAATAACTGAACCGAAAAATAATGGCACAAGTGTTTTCTAAATAATAAAATAGGGCTGAATACTAGCTAGGAACTGTGTTTTCTTTATATTTCGTATGCCGCTGAAGCTAGAGTGCAAATATTGATACTAGTAGCATTCTGGGCGATGCCCTCACGTGACTAGTCTGGAACTCAAAAGCTACTTGTCTGTATTAATCAAGTAAGTCCTAAAAGAGGTCGACTGCACGCGTACCATTTTTTTTTTTAACATTACTGGTCGAATAGGTGTACAGCTGCTTTAATCATAGTCGTCATAGATTAAGGTTTTGTACATAAGGGAAAATGTAGCTATTGAAATAAAGGCCAATCAGACCTGCGAGGTCCACGAGGTCAGCTGTCGTCGCGTTGGCCAGCGCTTGTGACTCTTCAATATCTAGCTCGATCTGCAAGTAGTGCAAAGGCCAATGAGCTGATGGTTGATTTCATGCATAATTTAATGAGTGATAAATGAATCGTAGCATTACCAACATAAAATAAAAATAAAATAAAAGCATAATAAATAAAAAAAAAAAGTAAAATGAAAATCTCAACAAAAAAACGGTTTTCATACTTTTCTTGCGCTCATACATTCATTGCGCAATATTTAAACCTGTTAACTTATTCTTCTTAAACTTCAGCCCGGACTCATGTTTAAGTAGCGCGAATACGCTTACATGATCTGTCCGTCATGTAAGTTCATTGTTGCTCGGATAGTTGATTATCGACAAAACAGCATGTTACGACTAACAATCTGTCTTGAGAAAAAATTAAAACAAACTTGAATTTCGCTGTCCTGGAAGGTAAGAATCGTATGTTTCAGATGCCATGTTTGTTTGTTGTGGTCCTGTGTAATGCGTATGGCAACAGGACGCTCCACCAATCGACAACAGTGAATCAAAGGTAATTTTTGAAGAGAAGTTTTTTTACATTGGAATTTATTTTTAAGCACGCAGTCCAGACAGCACCCTTAGTTAGACTTCAGCATTTTATAACTGTCGCTCTGCGTGGGGATCCCAGTCCCCACTCGGAAGGTTACCTCTGAAGTGGACCTTCGCCTGTTGTGCAAAACGATCATGTACAATTGAATGAAACCTATTGTAAAAAAGAAACACGAGAAAGTGCGTGTTATACCTTATGGACGATTGTGTAACTTAAAAGGCAGTGAATGCACCCGATATGATCCGTAATTACGTCCTTTTATTTTCAGTATATATATATATATATATATATATATATATATATATATATATATATACACTTGACACCGTTTTCTGATTATCGCATTGAAAGGAGATCGTTCCGCTTAATCAGCATTCATTATGGTAACAGGCCTTTTTAAGGTCGGAAATGCGAGCGAAGATATGTCGGGCGGTTTAGTTTCGCTTAGCTAATCAAAGTAATAATAGATATATACAAAACTTAAGCCGAAATGGCGATGGTATAAGCATTGAAAGGTTGAGGTATCGAATCGAAGCTCAGATTGGACTGAGTAGAGAGCGGGCTTTGAAAAGTATGGTTACATTGGCTACACTATTGAGGGTCCCTGTAGCATTTGATTTCCTACCAAACGTTGCCAAATATAAAGAAACGTGTTTTTAATCTAAATATATAAATACTGTACTGTCTATCTGTTACTACCATGATTTCGTATAACAGGTAGACAGAGCGCTTAATTCTCTCCTCTTTTGGATATGCAGACACAAGCTCTAAGAGCCAGCAGCGACTTCGCTTTTACTGTCCCTATGCTGCCACGGTTTGAGTTTACAGGCGTCATGTCCATACTTATTATTTGCTATTCATGATAGGTATCCGCCAAGTAACGTACATCAGAATCAGCTAATCAAGCTAAAGCTTGGAGTGTCGCGGACGTATCTCTGTAAAAACGTTGTTCTCCAGAACATCTAGGCACTAAAGTTCTATATCCACTGTGAATGGCCGCCCTCAGAAACGAGTAAGAAGAAATGAAGTGGATAAGAAAGACTTGTCATACTGCCTAAGTTTACCAGTGATGCGACGCACTCTAATTTAAATTAACACCTTAAAGAGCGATGAAGCACCAGGTAATTTCAGCCAGTGCCATCAATCAACCAGTGCTACCTTATAACTCATGTAAGTGAATAGGATTATCTACCACGCTTGAATGATGTAACATATATTTTACAAGAAAGATTCTTCCATACCGATGCAGAAATCTTAAAACAACTACACACGGATGTACACGCGCTAAAAAAATTTTGAAAGCAGGCTATATGCATATAGAGACTTTGCGTCTATACATATACTCTATTTAGCGCATGGAAATGATCAATCCGATTTTTATTCAGTACTGGTATATGTATCAAATGCTTTGGTACGCGGATCAACTGATAGACATACATTCGATAGGTAAGACGTTCCAGCATAACAACAGGGGGGTGCATGTGGCACTGGAATACCTCTATTTAGATATGTATTACTTGTCATAAAAGAACATTTTAAGTTTTTTGTTCCTTCAAACTTCTTGCTCACTGTCCCATGGCAGCGAGAGCCTATATTGTAATTTGCTTGCAATAGGTAAATAAAAACTTGCTGTTCGTTTCGATAATACAATTATATCGATACAATTATATCGAGAAATATACCTGCAGAAGTGCTCTAAGAACTTAAGTGGCAGGCATTTGTTCATTTTTTATTCCTGGTATATGAGGAAAACAACGAACTCGTCATAAGACACAGCAGCGCGTCAGCATTTGAGAAAAGATCAGCTATTGCCTATTTTCCACACCGAAAATCGGTTTGCGTAATTTTTCGTCTTTTTGGCCTTTTGCCGTCTCGAGCCCTTATATCTTTTGCACTTCTGGTTTGCTATTCGGACTCTGTTTTGAATCTCCTGTATGTAGCATATTTATGCAATACTTAAACCGAGTCTTTCTACTAGTATCGGTACGCGTATCGCTAATATTTAAAAAGTTAGTTTCATATCAATTTAAGAATGGCTAATGACTGGGCCAGATCCTAAATCGACGACACAATCACTGTGGATAGTGGTTTGGTTTCATAAACATGATCGTCAGGGATGACAGCTCTGGCACATGAAAAGAGATTCTTTGAGATATCCGCTTTTTTTTTTTGGCACAATCTTAGAGACAACTCGGAGAAGTTTCTTATATAGACGGAGGACCTTCGATATGCGTAATATGCCGAGCTGTCTTAAAGGTAACCCGAAATATGCCTGTTAGGTGGAGTAAAGAACCGGGATCTCGTCCCCAGTAATTGACAGTATTAACGATTGTGTCCATTTGGGCTGAGCTCGAGAGAAAGACTACGATGAAAATTTCACTTTCGTGTTTGGACATTTTAGAAGCCTACTTGAGAACATAATTGCAGACCGATATTACGTTTGAAACGTCTGATATTGCCACAGGAGGTACGTCTGAAACACATGTATATACACTATGTTTACATCTGCAGCAGATCGAGGTGTGTTGAACTGAGCTAATGTGCTATTCACATCACATGTGTGTACATAAGTAAGCCCTGCGCTCCGCCGCAAATTCAAACCTTTATTGGCTCGGCCGTGCGGTTGAGCTAATAGCTATGTGGCTGTTTAGATTTATACCTAAGCCTGAATTCTAAAACGAAAAAAAAATTTTGAAAAATAATGTTTTTGAGTAGAACGGCGAAAAGTTGGTAAATCACGTAGTTATAAACATTTACGGTAAGTAGGTGGCTGCTGTGGGCGAGTACAAGTAACGGGGTGCGGTGAAAATAAGTCATCATCATAAAGCAATTGGTCCTACAAAGTGGCAAGTGGTGAAGGTCACTCGGTCCAGATACTATACAATAATGGAGATCAATATGAAAATATAATTGTGCACGTCTCAGTACTTCGAAATATTCGGTTTAGTCAGAGCCTCGTATCATTCAAGCGTTGATATCTATATTTATCCTCTGTATACAAGTCTTTCGTGATTGGTAATACTTCCGTAAATGTTTACTTGTGTTTATTATTATATAGTTCTCTGACTATTCCCGGTTATTCTTTGACTTATTTTTCAGTTGTTTTCTATTTTCACATTTTTCATATGGTACCAATAGTAATTGCTTCAATAATCGAAGGCCGTTGTTAAGAATGCATGTTGTATTTCTTATGTGAGCGCTTAAGCGACCAAAGCTTGCTATTATGAATTTCCTAAGCATGATGCATGCTAATTTTAAGAAACACGAACTAGTCAAACAATGCGTAATGTTTCATTGAGTTCTGTCGAAAATATAGGCCGGTTAAATTTGACTCCGACTTAAAGATGCAACGAAATCACCCTGTAGAAAATTATACATACCTGTAAGATGCACTGAGATTTCTACCTACTAAGCCCAATATTTCAGAGTTCACACTCCAATTTGATTCTATTTGTGTATTACATCTAATCTAAAAGGGGTGGAATGACGATTTAACGTAACCGCTCAAGTAGGCAGCTATTTTTATTCACCCTTATTTAATCATAACACATCGGCTATTTATCAACTACAGACTAACTCACCGGAACACTGTCATCTGTTGTCTGTTCACTGGCTTTTTTTGTCGGTGGCTCCCAAACTCGACCTCTTTTAACCCCAGGCTGGTACTTCACCACCTGAGATAAGATAACTATTTAATAACTTTTTAATCCAACACTGAAAGAAAAGCATTTTTAATTTTGTCAACTTTTTTGATGCCCTTATGTAAGTGTTATAGATAGATAAACACTAAACTCTTACGGAAATTTTAGTCAAAATAATCGTTTCACTTGTACGTACAGTTACACTATAATCTATAAAGGGAAAACTATTAACACACTAGGCGCAAGGTGTGATCTTCTTCTTCAGACGCCATACAGAAGAACAGAATGACTAGCATTATAGAAAAGTCTTTGTGTGTGTGATCCTAGAAGTGACGAGAAGAATCACATAGAGATAGAATTAATAGTTTCGGTCTGCAGCAGGAAAAAAATGACACAATAATGAAAGAGAAGCGTATGTACTAGGAACTGATTGGACAACACTATATTGCGGCACCATTCTTTCGAGCTATTTGCTGTTCACCTCGGGTACATCCTCCTGTTGAGATGCATAGGTTTCTAAAAACTTCAACAACCTCTGCCGATTTAAAGGGCCTGTTGGTTCTTTATTCGTACGATAGTTACATCTGAAATATAACGTACACACGTTACAATGTTGTCCTGAAACTGGCCTTCAATTATTTCATTGTTAGATGTTCGATCTACCAAGACCGGCGATCTATGTCTATCAGATAAAGCCGTTGCGGTAATAGACAGAAAGTCTGGTTATACTATAGCGTGCCTCTATGTTACACTACTCCGACTTTACCAGGGACATCTAGGAGTATGGTGTAGATTACAACGCAAACTACATATTAAGTTTGTAACTTCATTAAATTTCATTTGCATTGGTTGCGTGGTTTGTAACTCTGGTCTGTTTCTGAAAAACTCTATAATAGCACTGCCACCTATAATACCGCCTTTATTATACAAATTGAGCTTATTGCATAAATTGGATCATTTAATGACCTTTCGGAGGGAGGTATCATTGAGTCGTCAGGATCGACCATCATTGAAAGCTGTTCGATCTCAGTGTCTGTTAGTTTGGAGAGCAGATCATCGATGTCCATGTCCGCATAGCGGCGCATGTCACGCAATATCGACTCTGAAATGGCCATCCTGAAGGGGGAAAGCGGCGCGTATTGTTTGTTAGATCATAGGCAGAGGGTCCAGTACTTGATTCATTAGTAAAAAAATTTGGCTCCTTATTTGAAAGAAAAAAGGTGTAAAAAAAATATATTTTTCGTAAATTAGTTTCATAAAGCAATGTAATTTTACTTCTATCGAAAACAATACTGCAAGCAATTGTACCGAAGGAAGCTTCACATGAAGAGACTTACTTGTCGTTGGTTTTAGCCATGTGGGTATTTATATCCTCGACGAGCTGGCTTCGTCGTCTCTTCATCACCGTGCCCTACACAACAATATGAAGATTGGCTAGTCATGTGGTGCGAATCATGTGACACCGTCCACACGCCCAAACGCATCAGTCATTCATCAGGAAGTCAATAGAAGCGCGAAACGAAGCTCTACTTTTGATGAAGCTTTTTTCACATTAATGCTACTTTAAAGCATCATATATTAGTTGCACCATTGGCAAATTTCGATAAACGCCGCCATTTTAGTACTGCCAAGAAACGCTTTGAATCCAGCTCTCAGAAATTATATTAAGTGTTACAAAGCCAAAACAAGTGAAGTGAAAGTCGCGGAAGCTGTAACAAAAAAGGAAAGCCATACAAACTCCAAACGCGATGCAAAATTGACGAATCTTCTCCGAAGACATATATCCTAACTTCTAGCTATAACACGCATAGAACGATGAAACCCCACCAGTTTGTAGTCGCCTTACTCAACATAATAAGAATAATAGCAGGCAAGTTTAGGATATTTCCATTATATCTCGCGGAAGCTTGAAAAGCGCGCTTGAACACAGCATATAGCCACGTTTGTATTCACTAATACCCATCAAATGAACGTGAAACACAGACGGAGGCAATCAGAGCAAATAATGTGCACCTTATCGGAACAGTGTGTTACATAAATATGAGATTAGATCCTTGCTGAGAGATCACGAAACAAAATGTCAGCCACATAGGCGAAGTGTCTGGACTTTAGTTGGAAGAGGATCAGCAAAACATCCTTACCGGTTGACGAAATACAATATATGATTTTCGTAAATGTAGAACCAGGCTGATTATATCGTGCATTTTACAAGAGGCACTTTCCATTCATACCACCGATATTACTACGTATTTAATTTTATTACTGCATGGAAGGTTTGATCGTAGGCTGCTATGGACCATGTCACTACGCCACTGTCTACTAGCTATACGAAGATAAACCTCAAAATGAGTAAACAGGGAAACACAAGATCTTACAAATACACGAGACGGACTCGCGAGCTTCGCCCCGTGCCTGTTCTTCCGTTAACTTACCTGACCCATTGATACTAAATCCAGTCAAACGTAAACCATAATGTATACCAAGAGCTCCCCTTGCAAATACGAGCCCCACATAATTCGTTACCCTTTTGCAGCTACTTTTTCAACCTGTTTTAGCTTACCCTAACATAAAGAAAAAAATTTTAAAAAAACCGACCTACACCATCCGACTCTCCTAATATTTTACAGTACTAATTGCATTAAGCTTTTGTAGTAAGATTATTTTTCCGGTTCCGTAAGTCCACTAGCAACATCTGTCACGTCCTAGTTATCCTGATTTACGTATTTCGTTCTCTCACTAGAATATTTTAACAGTCCTATTGTTACCCCGCGGTCATTTCATCGTGACCCCATCACCTTAGTGTAGTTCATGGTAATAGTGTAATTATTCAATTACCCTGTTCTGTTGATGGGTTATCCCATTACTTTGTCACGACTAATCCCTTAACTGCTGCGTGTACTGGGCTCCTTGAAGCGACAACTGAGCTTGACTTCCGAATCGTCAATATAAAGGTTTAAATTTCATGGTCTATGACCTATTCGGGTCAAGGTCACAATTTTATTGCTAAATTGAAAAGTTTTCCAATATAAACGTTTTGCAAATTTTCTACCGTTATTGAGTAAATCGTCGCTCAAATCGCGAATCGCAAATTGACATTATGCTCAATCATACGACGTAACTTAAAGAGAAAGTTTAAATTTACATTATTTGATTGGATAGGTATGAACGTCATTCATACAGTAAAGATATGTGAACATAATTTCTACAAATTAACCAAATAAGCATTACGTTGCCTATCAGAGAAAATACTGTTTCCCGAGAGGAAATATTTTTGAAATATTTATACATGAAGGAAATATTTTATTTTTGAAAAAAATAGCTAGTTCATAATTTATTAAGCATAAACTGTTTCGACAAAAATCGACCTTTTACGCCTAAACAGAAAAACATATGGATAGTCGGATATTACCCTGAAAAAAAAAGCCAATGTTACATCCAGTTTGTAGAGCTCAGAGATTACAAATAGCTTTTTGATATAAACTTTTTACACATTATCAGCGGTTATCGAGCATATCTCAAATTAAAATCACTCTTTATAACAAAAGCAAATTCCTCCCAGAAAAACTATTAACTTCATCTGACGCGGGAATTTTTTCGAAAAAATTTTAGCGGCTTACTAAAGATTAATCGAATTACATTACTCTAAGGGGACGATTTAGTTAGGACAGGCAGGCGAACCAGCACACGTGTCATGATCTCCATACCCTGTGGTATTTACACTGTTTTTTCGTGTCGGTTACTCTTACCATTCAGAAAAAGTACTCATTTTATTTAAGAATACAAGTCATACATCAAGATAGTTGAGATATATATCGTTATATTACATTATATATCGTTTTACTGATTAAGTAAATTAACATAACGCCCCCTTATAGGAAAAACAAATGCGCCCTCAGTTAAAAAGGGAATTTCCTCATTTGAAAAAAGTAAATGAAAAATTATTATAATCAGTATTAAGGGAAAAAATCATCGACGTATCGTTAATTGATCTTTTTCTGAAATCCAATATTTCGTAAAGCTTGAAAGACAGTCTTTTACTATAAAATAAAAAGCATCTCTTTTTCTACTCTTTTAATGAAAATGTAGCAAAGCTAGCGCTGTGCATAAGTGGCAAGTTTATAGAAAAAACTTAAAACCGAATCCTTGCTTCAAGACTGAAGTAATCGTCTTAGCCGAACCAACTTGCTTTGGAGTAAAGAACCTAAATACTGAAATTTCAACTCTTTATATAACGCCATGGCCGGACGAATTCGTTTTCTTCAGATTGAAAACTGGCTACTATTGCTGTCGTCATGAACAAACGTTTGTCTTTTGACAATTTCGAAAAAAAAAACTTGTTCCTAATTATTGCTATGCTTTTGCTGCTAAGAGGGTCGTACACCTCCTGTCAAACACCACTAAATCTATCGCTGTCAAATTACTCGTTTCGCAATTAGTATTGATAACTACCGTTGAAAATAGGCTTTTTTTTTGTTTTGACTCGTACTATATACTTACCACCGCCAGGTATCTTTACACTTTATACAAGTACTAAAAAAATTGCAACACTTGGCTGGATGTGACTTCTTATTCTACCTGTGATCTGGTAATATAAGCATTTTTTTTTTGTAAAAATATCGCCCATGAGAACTTATCCATTTGATCTACACCTAATCGCCATATTAATGACACGGGTAATCACCCCTTTGGAAGGACCAACGAGATACTTTTAGCGTTATACAGAGCTATGAGAATAGGGTCAAAAATGTAGAGCATTGGGCAAGCTGTGCCTTAAGTACGGCATACCACACCGACAACTCAAACTGGAAAGACCTTGTTGACTTTAGCAGATGTTATCCTGCAGATCGCATTAGCATAAAGTTAAGGCAAGCCAAGCCAAGCCATATGTAAGCATTTTCCTACTGAGGATTGTTGTTGATCGCATAAACTATAAAGCTGAAGAAATTTATGGGAAACTGTTAGTCCGCGCGCTTTACCGTGGTGATGGAGTATGCGATAGACAGTGTACACGGGTTCAATGGGTCGCTTATGGGCCTTTTCTTCAAAAATAATTTTCAACTCTACATAAGGATTTCCATGTATTTTTACGTGTGTCTTGTAAGCTATGAGAATAAAGCGTCTTCGGGAATAAAACGAACCATTCGATTCGTTCATTATGCAGCCGCCTGGCAAACACAAGAAACAGATTACCTTTAGTTAAGGAAAATTGAGTTAGATGCAGATAATTCAAGCAACGACGTACAAGATCTAAGGTCAGGTTCATGGTTGCGTGGCGGTGGGTCGATCGTTTGAAGGTGAGGAAGATTAACACAAGGACTTTTCGTTGAATATTTTTTGTTCGACGCCAGTCAGTTTACCGTCGGCCGTTTTTGCATCGCTTTCTTACGTTGAGCTTCCTTTAAGGCAGACTTCATTGCATCGTTAGATTACACCAATTGTGACCTGATATTTATATAGTAGCATTTAATACTTCTACCACGGGTGCACTTAATTTTCTGGATAGTTTCTAGCAAACAACGGCCGCGATCGTACAAGGCTGTGACGACAGAAAGACGATCCACAGAGGCTCGATTGAAATCAACGCAAAACGATTAAGTACGTTACAGAGACAACAGTCGAATCATTTTGCTTCACTCCCATAGTCGCACGACTACGGCCGTTTGTATAGGTCAACACCTGCTCTTCATTCTAGTCCGCTGCTACTGCTTACAAAATCAGGAGCATAATCTACTTAGATGGGCTATACACGACAATGTATCGGAGATACATTAAGCAGTTCGACTATATAATTAGCCTGTTACTTAAAGGAAAGCCTGATGTGCCACTTTATACACCAATCCTAATAATATTCTTCGTCAACGTACGTAGTGAAATGTAAACGGATGAGTGTAACTTGTATGGTGGCCCTGACAGAATGCTGCATACCTAGAAATTCGGTTTTATTCTTTGTCCTTTTTGATTGTAAGGTATATTTCAAAAAATCAGCGGCGACTTTAATTATCCTACCAATATTCGATGGAAAAATAATAGATTTTTAAGATGATTGTTATTTTATCGCTGGGACTTATTTGAATCTATGCTGCAGCTACATCATAATAGCGGCGGTGCGGCGTATATGGTGTAACGAACGTTACGTAAATCTATTATTTTGTTTCTTTATCTAATGACATCTCTCTGTTACATATGTCGTCGACGCGAACTGAACTAGTTCTACGTTTTTTTTGTTATATACTTCATAATACTTTATTATACTTTTATTTATATATATATTTGTAGTATCCTGTGTAGTAAGGTTCAAGCAGCATTGTGTTTTATACGTCTGTACTATGCCTATGTAAATAGACCTATTTACGCCTAGGTAGGTTTTATGGTATTTAGTTATATCATCAAATGCAATGTAAAAACCTCATGGTGGTTCCGCAGGTGATTCAAAAAGAAGAAAAGGTATACAATCCGTTTTAGTAGAAAAAGCTATTTAATTATTAAGGGGAAATGAATAATCTGTTATCCAGCAGTAATTTAAGAGTAATCAAATAAGATTCCTCTATCCAGAATAGAAAAGCCATCACAGCTCAGCTGTGAAGTCTTGAGCTATTCCGAAATAGCTTGGTGAGGTTCGTTTCTGGTCATATTGCTACCTGAGTTGAGCGCTGCTGCCTTGAACAGCTTGTCCCTTTCAGCGTCAGGAAAACCGCATGTCTCTCTGAGCCCAGTTTTAAACCTGGTCAATACTAGGTATCCCTAAGTACGCGCTGCACGATGGCGGAAACTAGCGTTTCTGATATGATAGGAAGATCCCCCCCCCCCCCCCCAAAAAAAAACACTGCCATTCGCTATACTACACGTTAAAAATTTACATGTAGTGAATGTATGGGGAAGAACGAAGTGAGATTTTCTGTGAAATAGGCTTAATAACTCCAAATCTCACCGAAAAAGTACGAAACGTTTTTCTGAATTTTCTGAGATCTCAGATATAGCAATTAAAAAGTACCAGGAAGGCGAACGCTTATTATATTGCCTCCCGTATCATTTAGACATGCAAATAAAAAAGGTTCTAATAAATATAGCTTGTCCATCGACATTAACAAAACGTAGTCAAACATAGTGGTGGACACGCCATTTTCAGGAGACCAACACAAGCTTCCTAGTGTTTAACAAACACAGGTAAACGCCTTTTAATTTAATGTATTGACAATCAAGGAGTTAAACTTAAATACACAAGGCTCTAATAAAATAGGTTAACTATCCTTTTTTTTTTTGTTTTTAATATTATTAAGCCTGCATACGTTCTTTGCCAAATGTGCATAGAAAATATCGGTGCCAGCTAAGGAAGCATTCATTTTTTTTTATTTTATTCGTAATGCACTAAACCAATTACACATGTCTCTCCTATGTATATATATATATATATATATATATATATATATATATATATATATATACGCATGTGTAGCTATTCTTCTATGAAGTCTATAAATATGAAAATTAAAAACTTTTTGTTGTAGCGTTTTTTTTAACCATTAACGACATAAAGTGTTGCGTAACTCTCATTAACAGAAGACGGCAGATACTTCGGAGTAGACTACTCTCATAATAGTATTTATATAATAAACTAATATTTCTTCACTTTCAAGTAGCTGTGTATCTATGCAGATCGTGACACGTGTGCGATGCGTGACAATGACGACATCCCTGGCACGCTATCTGAGTTGCCCTAAAACTGTTCTGATAACAATATACATAGATATACATATACCAATTACCTAGACTGTGCTTCTAGCTGCATTTAATAAATAATAAATTAAAAAACGAACGGACACGCGTCCATACATTGCTGCAATTTTGAAAAATCTATGTTTTTATTTAAGAAACATATAAGAAATTTTTTGACATATCCTATCGTTGGCGCTTACCTTGACTCTAATTTCGGACTCCATTTTAGCGATTATCGAAATCTATTGGCTGCGATTCTCTTTTATCTGGAATAAGAGACGGAAACTGCTAGAAGCTGGCACTGCTATTGAAATTAGCTTAGATAGCCCACCGTATTCCTAACGCGTCTGCACGCGACTGAACTAGCTCGCCACCTCCCCTTCAAAATAGAACAAGAACTTTCTCGAACAGCGTCAAGACTATTACTGCGTCTATCTGCATCGTGTCAGAAGACGTCTCAGCTCGATCCACAGTCTGAAAGTCAAGTTTATGTAAAACAAAAACAACAAGACATTTAGCATTTAACATACAGAATAGCATTGCTTTATATTCTATTATATTTAATAATATATTGTATAAAAATTACTTTGAACTCGCATGAACGCTAAACACAACTCAAAACAAGACAAAAGATGATGACGCGATCATCAAAATATTAGGCTATTAAGAACAGGAAGACATTGCGACTGTGTAATAAGTCGATGAATTGAATTTTAAAAAAAAAGCTACGTCTTTTTTTATTACAGGTAAGCAATTATCTCTTGTTTTAATAGAATTACGACATGCTTTAACTCTAAACTCAAGAATTTAACACAATATTATGCAAGTACGATCAATAGCCATATATGTGATAAGTGTCATAAGCAGCAGCAGCAGCATGCAAGAGGTAGCTTAGAAATCTCTTTTTTTTTTTTCAACTACACATTGCGTAATTATAAACAAAACATAATAATTATTTGCTGTCTATCTATTTTTGCTCCTGTCTATGTAATTTTAATAGAGGAAAAAATGGCTAGTCCGCCTTAGGGGCTCTCGTACTTCGTGAGGCTCTGAAATCAGTACAACAGGCATCGATAGAACCGCTTCCAAAAAAAATGCTTTTCCTGTAAGCTGTCAAGGTGAGAGCTTACAAGAAAAGCATTTTAATGACGTCATTAAAAAACAAATCCAATATATAGAAACAAAGTAACGCAACCTGGGCAAAAATGTTGATATTGCTCATACTATTAAGTTGTCTTGCTGTAAAAGATGCTCAAATTGCATCCGTGATTTAGTGTAAAAAAGGCGTTGTTGTTTTCCTAGAAAGGCCCTAATAGCGTTCATTGTTTCAGTGTTGGAACTACACCGTGGTCCGGTCAGTCATCTGAACGTTTATTGCCCTCAGGATAGATCAATAGGATCCTTCGCGCGCGATTTGCGTGCGAATGATCGAGGCAGGCATGCTTGCTTGAGAATCCAGATATTGCTTTAAGCGATCAGGCCATTCGCTAAAGCGCGCCGACTAGCAGAAGAAGTGCGTTTTGAGCTGTTGTGATAACTCCCGATTATTTCCCCAATGACATCCCCTTTTTTTGGCCTGGATCTGACCACTGTTTTTTTTTTTGAATGACTTGGGAGACTCGTGTACCGTGACTACCACTGAGATTCACTAGAATAATCTATGTGTTCGTACAAAGTCAGTTGGTATATCTTTAACGCTTTTCGTTGTGTTCCAGGTAGTGTGCTTAGGTCAAAGACTCCGAAAGCTTTGGCTGATGTCATAATTGCCATAACAACTCCCTGAGTCACGCCGTTTGCGTTAATAGATGACCGTAGGTCGATGAGTACAGACTGAATTTCAGCGTAATGGCAGCACCGCTAGATGACAAGAGCAGAAAGCTTGAGACGGCTGAAATATACCCTTCCTCGAGGCCATAGTGTACGACCGCATTCACAGAAGCGGCAGCGCCGCTAGACAGTGTTTAGGTCGCCGTGGGGGTTCCCACCACAATCAAGCCACCTCGCTATGTGCTTGTCACGTTAACGAGTACTTTCTCTTGCCTCGGTGATCGGCACTCCAACAGTCGGTTGATATTATTTGAAGTAGTGCCCAGCAGATAATGTAAGGTATAAAAAAAGGATTAGCGTGTCTCTTATACTGAACAGCAGTAGTGTTTGGGTTTGGTAACTCGGTTATTTGTAACGCTTGTAGCTATAAGAACTAATCTGTTAGCTAAGCAACTAATATTATAGCTAGATGGTTATAGATAGGTGCAAGGAACTCAGAGAGGCCAAGAATGGAAGAGTGGTGTAATGATACGATCTCGCTATTTCCATCGTTCTTGTTGCTGTTATCGTCATGATCGTTAAAGGGCAGATGTGAAGAACGGGGCGACCTATATTTGTCTCAGTCTCAATAGGCAACGTGAACCGTTAACGCTACTTGATCCAACAGACGCAAAAAGGTGTAACCGTTGTATGGATCCATTATTACAAGGCATGACTCTGCGAGACTGAATATGAATCTGGACATAGAGAAAATTATAAATTAGACCTAGTGAGAGATAGTTAAGGTGTACAGAAGCTTAAACATGGCGATAATCAGACGCAGACTAGGGGACAAATTAGACATTGTGTTTCACCACAAAAAGTAAGTGGCGGATTACTATGTTTCGATTACAAGAACAGCACAGTTATGAATATGCTACAGAATCTTCATCATCTCCAAGAGTCTGATTGAGTCATTACCTGATTTCAGAAGCTATCACCATTGTCAAAGAAACTGAATTTTATTCGAGGAGCACGAAACTGTGAGAGCACGTAATTTTTTAGGAGGAGTTTAAAGTCCAATATATTATTGCACGGATGAGCGAACTTCAGTCCTATGGCATTCATCTGCTACTACACTGCTCTCACCCACTAAGGCCTGGATTAACCCCGTGTTCATTGGACATGCACTTCTTAATTTGGACCTCAAGCTAATAGTACATTCCAGCAACTTCAGAAAATCAAAATTTTTCGAGTGTTATGTTGTTTACAGCCGCTAAGCATTGTTTCAGACGGCCAGCAATTTTTTTTAAAGGTTAAGAACCAAAGCATTTTGCGGATCGGATCTTATTGCTAAGCTATTTGACCGGTACCGTGAGTCCTTGAACGTTTAAGGCCTGGACCCTGACGCAAGGTCTAGTTCAGGCAGCTAGCAAGTCTAATAGTATATGAGTGGCTTTTTTCAGATAACTGCGTTCCGTCAAAATATTATGAACATTTTGCAGGGACGTTTGAGTTCTGAAGCTGGGTTTTTATATTATTTTTTGGAATAGCAACAGAAAAACGAAAACAGAATTTAGTGCCTACAAAATATTAAGATGTACAACAATTTTCCGTAAACTGCTAACGCGCTATTCAAAGAATAGAGTAAAAAATTAGTGAGGGATTTACTTTATGCGATTGGCTAGCGCGTTTTGAGCTGCACCCTGTGTAATCCTATGCTATTCTGATGTTTGCTGTCCGGGTATCGTTACCATAAATACCAAATCGCTCTTCGCCTTCTATTTGAAATACGATGTTTAAAAAGTTTATTAGTACTGCTGCGCAGATCTAACGGGGCCCATCAGCTGCAGACAGCTGACGTGTGGTTCAGTGCGTCCGCCCCGGTCAAACCTCTGGTTGACAGAAAAAAGACATACAATCTAATGGTATCTGTAATTTTATTTCAAGATTAAGACTTAAATGATAAATCGATAACAAAAATAAAAGTTGTTAGTAGCACAAATAGGAAGAAAAACAAAGCAGTGTCTTAAGCTCAGATGATGATTTATGTGGATTCTATATTTTTTCGCGTCGTAAAGGTTAGTAGTGTATATGGCAAACGCATACAGACAACGGCAAAACACTCAGCCTTGATTATATGACTTAGAACTATAAATATACTTCTTTTAATTTTTAATATTAATATCGTTGTTATATAAATAATTTTCCTTGATTGGTCCTCTGCTGCTTAGAATTCGTCACTACCTCTGCCTGTGGAGTCTCTTTTGATTTCATCACTGCTATAAGGGAAGCCATAAGGCGTGCGCGCGTTTGCTCTTGTGGCTACGCAACTTCCTTATCCCTCGGGGCTTGCCTTATTCGCACAGTAGAAACGCTTTTTTTTGTAAGAACGATCTTTGTAATGACATTGTAAGTAAGTTTGTATAGGGCCAGTTTTTAGTATAAGTTGCGTGGTCGAATCTAGATATCGGCGTAAAACACGGTTTATTAGATCGGAAAACAAGGATTATCGTCCACAAATGTGTCGGTATGAAAAAATTATGCTTCAGCTACCATATAGAACTACATCGGTACCCTCGCTGACCTCATCACCCTGTACACGCTTCATTGCATGAGGACAGCTTTACCTTTGTACCAGTTCGGAGAACAGAATAAATATATCCAAATAAATGTGGAACAGTTGTTCTTTACGATTTGTTGTCAATTAGGGCCGGAAGGAAGTCGTTAAATCTCAACACGTTTTGTCAACTTCATGATCTGTTACGTAAAGGCAGACAGCGTAAACATACCAACCGAAGGTATTCCTATGGCAATACAAATGGATCTACAAAATATAACTAATACTTAGCCAATTATTAACTTTGAATCAATGCACAATCCATCCGAGCCTTATCGTGAGCTTATTATATTGGTATAGGTGTGGTTAATTAGAGTCGTTGTTGTTCTATACGATTTTCCGCATGCCTCTTCACCTAATAGCTAAAGTAACGAACGGTTTTGTAAATATCATTATTATATGGGGAATGCGATTATGTTGCTACTGTACCTGCCGTCCTAGGGACACGCAAGCCCGCTAAAAATAGATTCAACACGCCTCAGCATTATTCAAAAAGATTCACTGACTAATTTTCTAATGTAGTATACGTTTATATCGCTTGTAAACCGTTGGCACCATTAGCTGCATGTTTCATGCGAGGTTATACTTGCTCTGTTTGCCATGCATGTATGCACGTGGTTTGAAAGCATTGAAAAAAAAAGCTTCCAGGGCATCGTTTGCGGATAAATAACAAAAAAAATTAAAAAAATCATTTTAAATCTGTTTGTTTACGCCATTACATCGGGACACCACTCGCTCCCGCCACACACACATCGCGATCAATCAATCAATCGATCGATTAAATACGTACTAAATAAAATTAAATACGTACAAAAAGATATGGCGATAATGATGATAATAAGGTTCCACAATAGAAGGGACCTAGAATATCATTGAAGGCCTAGTTGAATCGTTCTGTAACACAATTATGCCCAGCTACTGCAAAAATGGAACGAACGAGGTAACCTATCATGCAACCCAGTAAATAATGATTTATTCAAGATTATAGAAACTGCGTTGCCAATTATTTTTGCTGTTAAAATTCGTCGTGAGCGTATGCTTTGCACTCTTCTAAATTTTGTCTTTTAGGTTTTTCAAATCCTTAGTTCGATGCACTGTGAGGGCGGACAAAAACTAAACCAAAATTTCTGTATGCTTTTCGCAAAGTGGTAATTCCAAGTGATTTAAAAATTCTTGATCTCGGTTCAAAGTGAATGTATTAGTTAAACGTTTTATGCTGTGCATAACTAAATGAATAGATGGACATTTTTTTTTTTATTTAGTCCTACAAAATTGCGTACAGGATATGCATAAATACATCAAAGCGAATATCATCGATCTAACAAAAACTCACACGAAATTCAATTTTTTGAAAATATATCGACAGACAACCCAAATCTGCGATCACACCACACCTTTGGCAGAAGAGGACAATCTCAACAAAGGCCTTATTTCCCTAATTACGATTATATACTTACTCGATTGCCTCACGGTCAAACGGGAAAAATAGACAATTAATTGTTTGTTGTTCTAAGTGTGACGGTCTGATCACAACTAGTGATCATAACAACCCAGTGACGAGACGAAAGTGAGACCGATCTGATTTGGCAACAAGAACAATGAATCGTGAGTGAGGATCGTCGAAGTCTTTCGCAGTATAGAGTCTGATCGCATCAGGGTCAACTCGCGTCACATTTGCGCTGATCCCCTGGCAACAGTGACCGCTTAAGCAGACAACAGATACGATCGAATGAATCAGCTCTTATTATCTGGGGACTGACATCAACGTCGGCCAATAATAAGAGCAGAATGTACATTACTTAGGTACACTGTTTATTTAGATAGATAACTCTGTGCTCTACGAGTGTTAGTCGTTGTGTAAGTCTTTAATTGTCTGCGATTGGTTTTGACATTGCTCAGGGATATATTCATTTTATGCAAAGCTCGAGCATCGGATACAGTTTATTTACCCTTATCAGAAATGGCAGCAAAATAGAAGATTGGATTCTCGCACAGCCATATAATCATAGATATCTAAAAATATAGAAACCCAACTAATCAAAACTTAATATTCCGTATACCTAGTGACACTCATTTTACTCAACGGCATTTTTAAATTGTAAGCACAACTTCAATATTGTGTTTTTGCTTTTTATTAAAATCGTAAAATACATTTGATATAATGAAGGATAGTGACTAATATAGAAAGCGAGCAAAGCTGCCATTCATGTCCTAGCAGAAATTAACGAATGCTCGGTATCACCACAAAAAAACCTCTCTTTGAATTATTTTTGAATGAACTGTAACTAACAATGATATAGGAAATCCTGTCGAGCGCACCACAAGTAATATGTCCGCTGTATGACGCAAAATTTGCGCGAGACGAAGTCAATAAATTTATGTCGAAATAACTTTCCCTATTTTTATGCCACCCGGTTGGAGGCACTGACATAAAAAAAATTGCATTTTGTGTTTTTAGTTACCCTTCTTAGTCCGTTTTACAAAATAGTAACCTACTGATCTACGCGTTTACTTTGGCTCTCAGTTCTGCTTCAAAAAACTTCGATAAAAAAATTTACTTCGACCTGAATGTGATTATTTCCAGAGTCGTTCTTGGGCCCACCAAATGGCAATAACGGCATGCAAAGCTGCATCAGATCGAGGACTTTATTATGCAATAACAGAGGATAACTACACGTTGCGCAGTACAATTTTTTTATAACTGCAATTTAGCGAACGCTCTGGCTCTTCGCAGTAAGAAAATTTTTTTTTACTGAACAAGCGCTTCACTTCCCGAAACGTTCTTGTGAAGGAGATCGCTCGAGCTCATAATCATATTCTCCATTAGCTACAAAGTAACGTTTAACTGACCGATGCCTCAGGCGCCACCGTCGTCGTCAAGCAATTATGGTTCTGTTGCGCTCGGAGGCAGCATCTGATCTATGCGTTTTAAAAGTTTGTTAATTATAATTTGCTTAATTTTGGTGTGCGGAACAAATAGAACTGAAAGATGTTTTTAATGACGTTGTTTGCATCGAGGAAGCCTACTTAAATGTTCTCAGGCTCAGATCCACACGCAGTCTCCTACTAGCAATACAACTACTATTACCGAATAGGCCCTAGTAGAAAAAGCGTGAGAGTCAGTCAACAGCATTTCAGGTAATAAGGTTTACGTCGTCGGCGTATGCCTCTCGCATATGCTATCTCGCCGCCGCCGTGCGGGAACAACAACGCAGCATCTAACCTCGCTTCACATCCTGTTGGCAGTTGCGTCAGTAATAGGAAGCATGTTGCACAACTGGAAGCATAACTGCAGCATAAGGCCCTTGCACAAGCAGTAAAACCAAACCAGTATATATTTATCGTGCTCCCTAACGAGTGGATTACATAGTCTGACGGCTTCTATACCCAATCGTTAAAATCTTCCCCATATGCTGAAACCGTAGCAATGATTTGTAAAAGTCATGCAAGGTTACCGATAACATAGCAATTAGGCAAATAAATTACTCCAAAAGCGAGATCTACGCAATTTTATACAAAAGCTATAACAGAGACGTGTATCTAAGAGCGGAAGCATTAATCTAAGTGATTTATCAGCCCTCTACTTTCACAGCGACAGGATCGCTTGTTCAGGTACTGATAAAAAGGTTTTTTGGAAGCTTTTAAAAATCATTGCTAAAAATGCTAGTCTCTTTTCATTGGTTGATATGAAAGGCCAAAAACTCAAACTTTCTCTATTTAATATTTTGCAGAACCGTTAAATGAAAAACGAGTGACGGTGGTCTTGGAGTTACCAATAAAATCTTCCTTTTTAAAAATGCGTCAGATCTCAGAAACGGTGTATCACCTTCAAGAGTGCAACACCAATGCATATTATCTGGACTTTCCTAGTCCTGTCTAAAAAGCTCGCTCTAAAATATTGCTGTAAAGTCTTCAGATCGTGTCAAACTGTATTTTGTTTTTATTTACAAGGTCGAATGCACCTACAGCAGACGAAATTCAATAGGTCAGGGGTAATTCTAGTCGTACATCGTAGAATACCTAAGGATATAAGCTGGGGGCCAAGCTTTATGTTCTGTCACAAATTATTTAAGCCTGCCACAAAAAAAGGCCAATTTAAGGCCTCTTAATAGCTATAATAAGACTGATTTGAAATCACTGAGACTAAGACATTGATTGGCAATCAGTACAGCAACTCTTTTTTATGTTCTAGTCCATAAAACAACCATTAATATTTCTGACGTCCTGCAAACAAATATCATCTAGCGTTTTTGATATAGTTGAATGGTGGATATTTAGTTTGAGATTTGGTGGTCGCAATGAAAGGAACAGAGGCATAAGCAGCAGGCGAACTATGATGGATAATTCCTCAACATTTAATCCTGAACATAGAGGGTGCTTGCTGCCTATTTCTTTCCCATGGGTCAGTTAGAATTTCGATGAGTGTCAGTAAAAAAATACGAAAATGCCATTGGATGATGCTTTCACTCATATACAGAATAATACAACCTGTCGTTTAATTACTATCCTTGACGTTCTTGCTGGTCTTCCTGAATTCGCAGTGGTTTTGTATTAAAGCTTTGTGATGAGCATCGATGCGTTCTATGCATGCAACATCAATGCATGTAAATGGATGCTGACTGACTCACCAATTTGGAAATGAGCAGTCATTACGGCACGACGATCCTCATGTTAACGTGAGATATTATCCTGTACGGACGTGAATACAAGAACTATTCTATTTGTAAAAGCCTCCAGCACGACCTAGCGAAACGGACGCTTCAAGCAGAGTCGAGATCAATGATCACCAACTACCACCTTTCAACAATGCTCAACATCCAATCCAGCACAAAGAGCGTGTTCTCTATCGTGCGCTCGTAAGCGCGTATTTGAGTATTTTTCCAAAAGGATGGCCGCCAGCCGCACTAACTTCGCGACGAGTGACGACACTCAGTGGAACGATGAACACAACGGATAAACTCTAGCTAAGCAGGTCGGCTGATCTGTTAGTTGGTCACTACGTAGTTGAACAATGCGTGCACTAACGTTGTTTCTTAACTTTGATAGAATGGTTCGAGCGTATGATCTGACGTACGCGGGGAGGAAGCTTTATGACGAGGTTAAATTATCTGGATAGGTGCTATGGCTTCACGTTTACTTAGCACGATATCCTGTGACAATGCGGTAGTGCATACTCGGGTGTCGGGGCGGTCAGAGGGCATTATAAGTTGAGCTTGTAATTGAATTTGTCTTGCGAAGAAAAATATGGTTAAGTAGAAAAGGTTGGTTTCTAGACGGATGGCTGCTGTTGGCGGTGCTATTCCTTTTCGCTTAGCACAGAAGGGCAACACAATTCGACTCGTATCTCAGAAGTCTGGAGTGTGAGTGGAGCCGGCCGCAGCCCCATTCTTGTTTGATAGCGAAGCTAAGCCTGCAGATAGAGTAGATAGGCACCCAACTGCTACCAGCCTAAACAGGCACGCAGCAGCAGCTGCGCGGCCGATTCGCCGTCACCCGAAGACGACGCCGTGTGGCCGAGGACGTGATATTTGCGTGCCTTCCTTTGGTCTGTTAATACTGTTACCACCACAGCCACGGGTACCGTGCAGCTGCAATTTCGGCCGCTACAGCAGGCTGTGCGATAAACAGTGTCTTCCGGCAGTGGCGCGACAGCCCTCGCTTTTCGTCCTCATAAGCCTTTGCGTGCTGGCTAGCTGATTGCGCTTGTCGACGTGTTCTCCTTTAAGCCTTCCGCAGCAGGCCACTCAACGAGAAGCTCAACGCGACAAGTGCCAGTGAACGGCCATAGACGCACGAGCTAAACGCCTATGAGAAATCTGCGATAGCCAAATAACTGTAGCTCGGGCCTTGTCTAACCGAGAATATCCGCTAGCTCGGCAAAGATACCGGAGGTCCTGTCTGAGCCTAGTTATGCTGCCTGTCGTGGCTGTGGCATGCACAGCCGTTACTGCCCCAACGATCGTTGACGGCTGGCTTGCATCGTTACATCGTACAGCATAACCACTACAATTCTTCTATCTGTCTGTGCTTTCTGCGTATATTTGTATGAGAGACTCGAGTCTACGGGTAGGTTGTGACTTGCGGCGGCGGCTGTGGCGAGGAAAGGCAGCGTCGGTCGCAACGTAACGACAACGACGGTCAGGCTGATTGCATTGTGGCCCTCTTTCCTCGTTGTTTAATGGCGACTGCAAGGCAATCTGAGTCCGTTGCTGTCAGCTGCGCTATAGCGGCAACATCAGGAACAAGCTTCGCTTCCCCGAGCAAATACGATGACTTCTGGCATTCTTACCGCCGCCGCCATCGCTGTTGCTTCGTAAGCAGCAGCATTGCTTACGCGCAAGCAGTCAATCGTGTGTTGTTAACTAAGCACACATTCATACACACAGTTACGCAGCAGAAAATACAACATAGAGGGATACGACAGCGGCGTATCTACGGTACTGACTGCTTCAATAGATCGACAATTGCTGCCACTACGCGTGCGTACATACACAGTGCACAGTGAAAAGACTGCGTTGGCCGACCAGTCTGTTGCGCGTGCAAAATGAGTCAAAACCACTGTCGATTGCACTGCTTTTCTCACGGCTATTGGTAGAGTCGAGCTCAGTAAAACTTTAATTTTTTCCAATTGAGGAAGTCGCTGGTGTGTCCGGGCTTCGCGGTGTACTAGTGACGGTAGCCATACGTGTAACATAGATTGACTTAATGAGAATTCCTTCATTACCGACCTCGTCTCCCCCACTCCCGTCAGGTATTAGAGAAGTGTGGACCATGTGAGAATCGCCACCGAGAAACTTCACGACAACAGCGTACGACTCATATGTTATTAGAAATAACAACAGTAATGCAGTGTATGTGTAACGAGAACTATTGTCCATGCTTATTAGTTAAATGCAAATGACCTTTTGTTAGACAAACTAATATTGTCATGGTATACACAACAAGAGGAGTATAAGCGAACCCGTGCTATCGTCAGGTGATTGTTGTGCAAGCTGTAGAAACGTCTGACCGCTTCTGGGTCTGAAATTTGCGTCGCCTTCACTGTGTCCTAGAGTCATTTGCATGCATTTCAGCACAGTTAGAAGCTTCCCATACATACGACTGTATTAGATAGATTGTATGATACTTAAGCGATTAATATATGTATTATGTTTTCCTAAATACAATAAATTCTCTAGATTAGCTAAAGGAAGAATGTTCGGAAGGGTTCGATGCTGTAGTTTTTCCAGTTGTTGTCACTAGGAACCGCCGATGCGATTCGTGGATTCCAGTGGCAGCAGACATTTAGGACACAGACCCTTTTCAGCAGCTACTATTGGCAGTGTGAACTCGAAGCTATGCGTCTAAAAAAGACTAGGTTTGAGCAGCGTTACTGTAAACTCTGAACATTCTTCTTCTTCTTCTTGGCCTGATCTTAGGACGCGCCGATCGTCCTGAAATTCAGCTCTCAAATTGTACAGAGCGACCAGCCCTAACACTTGCTATAATTTGTTTAGGGTAGAAGATAACGATAAACTTGCCCGAACGACTTCGGACGCAACCGTTATAAATAGAGAGTGCTTGTACCGCCTACACTGCAACCTTTCTTACATTTAATGATGTATTATTTTACACGGACTCTTTCCAATCAGTTAACAGCCTTAAAGATACAGCATTTCAAACAAAAACAAATAATATCACGGAATCTCAGTTAGCAGAGGTGACAATAATCCATCCAAACAACGCAGACGGCAGGGTATCAACCGATTATATCGCACATTAGCTGGACGCCCAATAAAGACAGTATTCACGGCAAACGACATACTTACGTGACTTTAACAACGTGAAGATTTACTTATGATTATTATTACTAAACAGAATTTAACTTCCAGCCTACCTACGTTTGTGTGGCTTGCCCTCTAAGCTGGTGAAATACAGTTAAATAAGTGCGTTCGGAGGAATTCTGCAATACCTAAGTAGAAAAATTATAGGTCCATCTCGACCGGCTTATAAAGTTTATTGAAAAATTGCGCGTATGTATACCGTTTTTAGTCAAAACAGTTTAGATGTAATTTGTCTGTTCAGTGAATCGGTTCCTGTTACGACGTTTAGTTGAATTGATATGATTTTTCAGTCATAAAATACTTGCAGTATTGCCAATAGTTTATAAGGAAAATGTAAGCACATAGAGCAAAAATGGAAAAACGTAAGACAAATACACATGCACTATCTACATCTATACATCATTCGAAAGTACTGTATTATTTTTATTTGTTTTTATATATAGCATATTTCGTTAAGACTGACAAATTTACACAAACATATTTGTTATTGGTAACAAATGACTAGTACCTGCGATTTTACGTCTGGTATTTAAGCTAGCAACAGTTGCACGTTCGGGGTTACCATGGCAACGTGCTCAAAGTTGCTCACGAGTCACCCAGCCCTTCTTCATGCGGTTTGAAACAATCCTTGTTATCGAAAATATTGTGGTTACAATAGGATTATGATGTGTCCTCTTAAGCAAGGAACGATGAACAGCCAGGTGTAGTAAGCAGCTTTGAACAATCTCACAACAGATGGTCGTCTGACTTATACCTGAAAGGGTTAGTCACTACCTCGCCGAGCCGTTTTTTTTTAGCTTCACTTGTGATAGCCGCGGTCTTTCACCGTAGTTGCTATCGGCTTAAAGTAACATTTACTATCTAGGACCTCTTCCTCCGGCTTTCTCGATAGCTCGTCAATGTTGAAAGAGTGTTCGTCCGAATAGCGCGCTTATCAATGGTCCAGTCATCGCACGACCTCATTTAAAGGTACTCCCCTGTGTCCGTGTTGAAATCCAGAGGATGACTAGTTTATACTCGTGACGATAGTCGGCTGGCAAATACAAGTTGGTAAAATCACTATCGGGCCAAAACGAACCGCACACAAGGCGTGAACAGTCGGCGAATTAAGACGTCAAACGGGCAGTAAAGAACAAGCAGAACAAGAACAACTAAAAGAAGACTGCATAACGCATGGTCGCTCATCTCGCTGCTGGACTGCCGAGTCGGCAGCGTTCGATCTTGAAAGCTAAACGGCCAATCTCGCTCAATCGGTCTTCCAGCTTGCTTGCATGAAGATGACAGTGTGTGAAACGTTCTACGAGAGTGCTCACACACACACACAAGGTATAGGCAAATAGAAAAACATATCGGACAATTCAACATCCTATCTTATATAAAAAAATGCGGGCCAAAGGTGTTGAGTTACTGGGTGTGTGAATCCACAATCCAATAAGAAAACTCTTTTTAAGAACCGTTGTTATACAAATTATCGTTAAAGGTTGACACGCTCTAAGCGATTATTGTCAAAATAATTTAATTAAACAGACAACTGAAACTTCCGTAACGACAGATAACACCCGATCTGCTTTAGTACTTGTAGCCTAATCAGCTCAGGTTCAGTACATGGGCCTTGAATAGTTCAAGCTCGCTATGAGTGCATGCATAACATAATACACCATCTTACTGATTAGGCAGCAGGCAATACCAAGTGTCTAAGACGTAATATTAGAAAACAACACGTTTTTCTTTAAGTGCACAGCAACTGAACTCGCGCTTCCTGAGGACATAAACACTATGAAGAAAATTTGGTCCTGATAATATTAAAAAACTGAATTATGCCCTCCGAGAAAAAATTCTGCAAAGCTGCTAGGTCACTCATTTGAAATGTAAAAATTATTCCTACAATATATAAACATCCTGACGTTTGAATTGCAAATGCTACATTAGCTACATTATGTGATACTGTCTTTACACCAGGTTAGGCTCGATAATTGTTTAGTCCTATATTATAATTCTCCCAGCATATAAAAAATTTTATTCTAATATCTTTAGTTATATGATCACACGTAATAAGTAAATTGTTGATAGCAACTCATCTTAAAAATGAGCTTCCAGTGCTTTTTGTTCTGTGCTATTTACACCTAAGTTCAACATAGCTCTATTCAAATTTTCAAATACGCAATTTTTCAAAGTAAAGGAGAGATACAGATTTAAAAATGATTGAGTCGAGTGAAAGACGAATAATTGGAAATCTCGTACAAGTATATCGCATACACTATGGACTCCAGACGTTTCTGCCACCAAGCTATGTAATACCTTTGGGATAAATCTGTCATACAGAACTCGCATTTATGTATAGCCACTGCTCGGTCAGCAAAATTTGCTCTTACAAGTAAAAAGCTATCTGCAACGTTTAGCTGCCTTATTGTTAATGAAAGATAGTAAAAACCATTTTCTACCACTGCTGCTGACGATGCTCATCTATTTGGTGTCCTGGATGTTCCTTTGGCATGCAATGCGTAAAGGTAAGCTTTCTCATGAAAAATTCCTGATAGGACTATATAAGAATATTAGTTATTCAAGTCAGTTGAAAGTCAAGTCAAGCTGATTGCGTGAAGGCTGGGCCTGTCAAGATCTGCACGTAATACTTTAAAAACACTTGTCTTGTGTGATACGCAATACTCCTTTCACTTGTATCAAAACGAGCAGCAAAGTAATCAACCCAAACTTTTAAATAGGCGAAACACTTGTGCTATGCTATTTTGATTTTCGCTATCAGGCATTTATCTAGACAGAGATCAGATCATCAGACGAAAAAAATGGTCGCTTATCTTGAAAATTCCGTTAATGCCCGTTATATTTATTCTTAATATGACTAAATTAGTCCTTTGATTATGTGATACTTAACTTACTCAAGTATCGTGTGCAAATCTATTTGACATCAAACTTTTAAGCATGCCATAAGTTTAAGTCTCATCAGAATACATCTAAATATCGTCGTATGTCTCGATGGCCCAATACATAATTTAAAAAAAAGTGAAGACAAGAAAAAAATTGGAATAGAGTTTATAATAAAAACAAATAAAATGTAATTTATTAATTAGATTGTACTGATTCTTTTAATCTTAAATCTTATAATCGTTAAGCGCTGATAAAACTTTTAAGATGCTTGGTATTATAATTATAGGAGCTGGGCCATCTAGACCCTTTTCAATACTCCAAACAGAAATGATGGGGCTCAGTTGCGCCGTTAATAAACAGATGCGGTCATAGATGCTTTGAATAGAGCTACACTTGTTTATTTAGACCCAACAGGTCAAACTATTCACCAGCGGGTTCAAAAACTAAGTACCATTATTACCACGCTGATCTGGATAACTATTTTTGTAAAAAGAGAATATATTGAGCATGTCATTACATTTCAAACTAAAGGTCAAACTAGACCTGAAATGTACATGAAACTATAAAGTTCATAGCTGGCTGCAATTGACTAGGTAGCCAACTGTCATATTTGACAAACTCGGACGTACCTTCGAGAATACAGCACGAGATAGTTTTTTTAAAACAAGACCTCGTTTTATGAAGCCTAAGGGTAAATTTAAACCTAATGTAATATGTGTACTGACTAGAGGAGCTGCTCATTTTTTATCCTTTATTCAATGCTTTAAAACAACTGCGCCAGCGAGAAACGGAATGCGCAAACTTTCAGCGTAAACATCCAAAAAATCTTTGTAAGACGAGCTGATATGCTAAATAACCTAAGCAATAGTGCACATTTTTTAGGCACGGGTAAACGCTCTGAAATTTGCCGCCACTGAAGAAATCAGCGCTCATTATTGAAAAATCGATCGCACCTGACACGTACAGTGGGTCGTGGCGTATGAAGTTGACTTTGACGGTCTTTTTATCACAAACAAGTGGTTTGCCATGTTTAGCCTGTGAGCGGAGCAGTTAGAAACACGTAAAATTAAATGTTGACACGCCAAGCGGCAACAGACAAATTATTGTTCGTAGGACAGCGATTACCGCTAGATACAAGCCTGTTGAAAATGTTAGCCTATAACAGTGTTATCTCAATACTTAAGAACGAAAACTGGGGGTTTCTGAAAAACGTTATAACACAAATTCATTGAACACTTAAGTCCAAATAGTTGTCAATTTAGACTCAATCGTCTGCTCTAATCTAGAATTTTTCCGCGCACATCTTAGCAATAAGGTTCCGTTTAGACTTCATAAAATACTTAACAAGTACCATTACCCTTTGTGGCTAAGTGTGTGTGTTTGGAAGTGTTGCTAATATTTCCTTTAGACCTTGTATTGAATAGGTTTTATTCCACTTGATACCAAAGCAACTTCAGATTTATTAAAGGTAAGTTTTTATTAAAGAAGGTATAGAAAGCATTTTCTATTCACGATCTTTTTCCAACTGCTTTAAATAACTTAATATTAGCTTAATAAGCAAACAAGGTTTATAATTTTTATTGGGTAACTCTATTTCAAGATATATATATATATATATATATATATATATATATTTGTGAACGTTACTGAATACCTGCTTTGCTCCTGTTAATTAGTGGTTGAGATAAAAATAAACGATTATTATTAATACATACAGTTAAAACTTAAGGTGTGCAAAAGACCAATCTTACTCGAGTTAGGCAGACTTCTGATATCGATATTATGTGAGCCCCATAAATAAACAGGCCGCAATTTTACTTAGTAATGAAAGCCGGAAATCATTTATCCTTCGGCGCCAAGGACCCCTGCCCCCCAATTATCCAAACCTAATGTACCAAAATATCCTTTGGCAAAACCGATATTCTCTTGTACCAATATTTACTTGTTTTTATCAAATTGGTTGGACTATCCATAGATGCAGCACAACGTGTGGATACAGCGACCTCAAATAGCCCGTTTACACTGATCGACGACATATATTATTTGTTTTATCTTGCTTGAATTCAAAGGAAAACACCTAGATCATAATCTAATATTTACTAATTTCTGATTCAACATTAGCATAAGACGAAAGCTTCACATATTTGTACCAATGTCAGCAATAGATTTGTTCTATGCATTGTTTCCTTTAAAAGCAGCTGAGAAGTCGGAACATTTTCAAATCATCACTCATATCATAAATCTGTTTACAGTGGATCAAAATTTTCGCACGCAAAAATCTGACTCAAAAATCGTGGCTTGCAGCAATATCACTACTTACTTTGCTAATAGGTTAGTATATGCAAACAGACACACACACACACACACACTCATACAAAGACACTTGGCACTTCTACTGAGACTGCTCAGCAAATAAGCACTAGTGTAAAAGCTGAATATGCACGGCCATTCTCAGTGACGATCATTGATTTGTTACATTAATATCTATTCTATTTTGATTTTTCCCTATAATTATTATTCACTAATGCATCACTGTTATTATTTGTTTCATCTAAAAAGGTTACAGTAGAGTCAAGATCTGCTGTGAAAGAGTTTTGTTACTTTTATACCCTGCAACGGACATTTTCAGCGATCTAATCACTTTTGATCTGTGTGCGCGTTCCTGTGCATTCACATACATAATTGTACGCAAACATATAGATCTCAACGGATGTTACTATTGTAATAAAGCTTCTGCTCAGCTCTCAGCAACGGTCTGTTCATCTAAATTAAGGCCAAGGTCGGGTACTTCCAATCGATGTTCCGGCGGAAGGCATATATTTACCCACTGTAAAATTTCTAATGATTTCTGTAAGCACATCCTGCAAACGTATAACAGACAAGTGATGTTAATGTTATTCAAGAAGAGGAATGGCTCCTTTCATCACAGCAATTTCTGGCACATGATAGATACGTCTCCATATTTGTATAAGAATTTAGTCCAGTCACTGTCAGAAGCTCAAAAATATGTGGTCTCATAAACAGAACTAGAGCGGTACAAAGTAGTACATGACCCTTTTTGCACAACACGGTCATATCACGATTATCGAGCTATTGGCTCAGCATTTGCAAAAAGAGCCTCACTAATTAATTTCCTGTAACATTGATTTTTAACGTAATATCAATCTAAATTTTTATACATCATCGTAAAGAGTCTGAATCCTCAACAATCACGTACACACACATATATATACATATCGTTTAGCATAAAACGTGACAAACATCAGTCTTATATTTCAAGATGGCACTAATTTATAATGGTGCGATGCACTTGTATTCCTTAGGATGAAAATTGTTTACTCGAAGATTACCATTCGGGCTTTTAACAGGTGAGTGGTAGTGAATTATGGAAAATCAAAAAATCTAAGTGCCTTACATATATGGTTCTAACCTGGAACTATAGAGGCGCAGACAGCTCGTTGTCTGGGTTTAGTAAAAGTTCCACTACTAGAAACATCGCGACCCGTTGCTTTGAAAAATTCCGGGAGAAAAAGGTAGAAAAGAATTCAAAAATGAGTCTAATGAAAGAAAATAATTTTCAGTTACCTTGTGCAAGAATAATAATAAAGGATTGAGAGCTGTGGTCGGAGCTGACGCATATCAAAGCGCACGGGTGTTAGCACTCAGGTAATACATGTAAACATATTATACTTGTTTACCTCGCTAAACTTTCGGTAAAAAAATTTAACAAATAAATGCCGCATAATTTGAACAAGGATCAAAAACCACGGCCTAGAAACACTTGCTTCTCTTTGTTTTTATGTTACAAAGTGATCCATTTTTGCATCGAATCGTAACTTGAAACGAAAAATGCTTTCTATACTAAAATCGCAGACGGTTACATTAGAAAACAGTACGCAACTGGAGCGGCGAGACATCACCCTAAAGCAAATGTACACCTATAAAGGCATATTTGCTTGTTGAATGCAGATGTCATTCACTACAGCTCCATGGGTCCTGGTTTGCTGATTGTAGCTGAAGTGAAAAGTCAACATTTATAGGAGATGACAAAAACTCGAAAGAGTTTTTGTCATCTCCTATAATTTTTTTTTTTTTTTTTTTGTCGAGACTCGAAGTCTAGTGCCCCAAACACCTACGGCAACGGTATAAAGAAGTTACCACCCAAATAGCCGAAAATCATAAACAATAAGGACACATACTTTGAATCAAGAAAATTAGGTTTATAAGAAGAATCAGGGTTGACTCTGTCACGTTTCATACTGAACGGTCTAATATATGTATATGTACACATAATATGTAATAATAATATCAAGTACAGTCGAAGTAGGAAAGCTTGAAAAGAAAAGAAGCTTGTTATGATTATGTGCGCTAATCAGTAACCAGATAGAAATTCATATGATAAATCCATATCAAAAAACCATATGATAATTGTACCAATGATTAAGTCTATAGTTCACTAACACAATAATAGTCCTCTGGTAATCATGATATTATGATTGTTGCAGTGCGGACCTGCTGGAGTTTAGAAGTGCGCATATTTGGCTGACGGTACTAAGCTGATCGGTCTGTTTAGAAAGCTTAATAGATCGGTCTTGAAGAACCTAAAATGTAAAAACAAAGTCATCGACAATTAATTAATAATTATGAAAATCGCAATTACATCCTGCAATTACATCAACTTGTTTCTACCAAAATTTGCATTTTTTTTAATATTCGATTTTTCTTCTTGCTATGACAAGACATGCACACTAAGATGGAACAAACGATATTTCGTTAACATAAACAGTTGTACCTGGTGGAGGGTGCCGACAGCATAATCCATATCCTGGAGTCGCTGACCCAGCCGCGTCTGTTCCTTAGAGACGCCTTCAGCATTCTCTCGTATCAAGGTCTGGTAGCGCGTCACCAACGCAGTCGCAGCGCCAATGTCGAGACGACACGATGTTCCCGTTATCTCCTGGGGAAAAATTGCATATTACCATAATTATTGCAAGAATCGTGTGATATGTTGCTTATCTGCCTATCAAGAAGACTAGGGGAAAACCCTCCCCCGTACGAATGAAATAGTAATTTAACGGTCGAAGGTTTTGAAAATTTTGCAACACCTCATATAGCACTAGCGTTGATTTCCTACTGCAGTCCGTACAAACACCTACAACACTTGGTCTGCTAGAAAGTTTGTTTAAAAATTATTTTAGTCGTGAAAGGCTATTTTCTTTAGAATTAAATTATTCCATGTTACCTTCATGACAGGATTTCTAACGGTATCGCGAATTATAGGGTAGAAAGTAGGCACTTTTTGTAGCGTTAATAAAACGGGGTCGCGGGCAGGATCAGTGACTTCCGTAGAGGGTGACACGCCGTCATTAACTGTAACAATCCATCGATTTGCTGTACTACTGGCCACTGATGACGCTGACCTGTAAAATTCGGATGGTTCACTGCTGTAGGTTTAACAACTATGTCCATTAAAGCCGACTATCCGTTCGAACCTTAATATCCTAACATAACCAAACTCGACAACTTTTGAAGTTGTTTTTTTGTTACTGGGCAGGTGCACGACATACCGGAATAATTCAGCAAAATTGCCAGATAGTAATGGGAAGGTCCGATATATATGTATATAAGAAGAAACATATACAAGTTTCCGAAACATAAATAAATAAAAAAAGAATGACAACAAAAGGTGACCTACCATTAGGGTAAAAGTAGACTTATATTTACATATGTCCTAACTACGGATACGTAAAACCTATTTCTTTTCAGTGCAAGGTAACGTTTTACCCTCAAGCAGCCCCTTGTAAGTCACATATTATGCCCTCCCTCCCCTTATTTGCATCGCTTCTTACATTACTTAAATATTGTATTTTGGGTTTATTAACAATGAGTTTTCGCAGAAATCAGATCCATCTTCTTTCCCATATCTTGCTACATTTCATAAAAAGGATTTTGGAGTGAAAATGCGCAGACCTCGTAACTTTTACACTATAAGAATGATATACAATATATCAATTGCACACTTGTACATATATGCATTGAATCGATTTGGTATTGGGGTGATATCAAAAGGCAACGGCTGATTTTATGCTTGATTAATGCTTCTTGTATGTATTTTTCTTAGATCGTCTAGATTCTTACCTAATAGGTGTCGATTTTGGTGAATGCCCCTGTAATGCTGAAACCCCTGATGATCCTGGCATCGATAACGACTGTGTTTTTAAAAGACGTCGTGGTGATTCGCCAATTGGCTAGGTATAATACCGGCAAAGTTAATTAAGAGAAAAATTACAATAATTGATTAAAACATTGACTGAGGCTGAATATCAGAATACAATGGAGATTATTCTCGCCAATAGCAAGCTTACTGGTCAATTATCAAAACCAACAATTCAGTAACGCGAAATACAGCTGCGAAGGATGCCATCAAATTGTGTAATAACATAATAATAATAAAAATAATAATAAACCTATACGAATTGTTGTTTGTATACACATACCTTGATACAGCTTGGAATACTCTATCATATATTTAGGGTACATCCGTACCCTAAATATATGACTCAAATTTAAATAAAAGTTATGACCTTCGGGATTCGTATACCGTCGATATGACTGTTTCTGCTTGTAACGGACATGAATATTGTGTTTTACTATTGCTTATAACGTGAATCTTGTGGTGAAGCTCTTTTTGCTCTAGTTGTGCTCTAGTTGTCTTTTAGCCATCGAGTGTTGCCAAACTGGAGAACTTATAATGGAGTATTCAGTGATCTAATTAGATTCTTCACTAAATTAATCATCTATATTCATGTACAACATTACGAACAAATAGTTTACTTACAACGTTAATAATAATATCAGTTGGGTAGGTGAACCAATAAACTATGCTTCATAGCTATGTTCAATTTCTTGCGTAGATCTAACGGACAAAGAAAATGTTACATTTCATTCTAGTCATAAGTAAGAGGTAGCATTTACTTACCTGGGTAGCAGTTGCGTACGGAGGATCTTCGAGAGAATTTTTACGAATTCTTCTTCTGAACCCTCCTCCTCGAGACTGTTCAGCTCCCATCGCGCAATTTACAAAGCTGAACGTAAATAATACAGTAACTAATAGCAAAACTTAGTCTGAAATAAATCGATGCATATATTTCCTTGTGTGAAGATGATTTTTTATTTCCTGTTTAACTGGTCTGGTGTCGGTTCAATTGTGTACTTATTTAGTGCGTTTATTATACGCTGACTTAGCTAAAAGACGCTCAGCTTGCTTTCACATAGTTGTTCTTAATCTCTTTGATATAACGTGGATTTTCTGTTGCAATGGGTATATGCCAAAGGATAAAGCAATTCGTCCAATGCCGTCCTAGTTCTAGATTGTATTTACAACATTTGCAACATCATAAATCCTGCTTTATCAAAGAAAAAGAAAGAGATGACCCTGCTATTTATTACATAAGAAATAATCATCAACAAGCAAAGCTTTTCATTAGAGAATAATTATTAATCATTGCACATAGGTATTACCAGCCCATTGGCTGCTAAATAGATTTGACTGAATTCAGATATTATTAGATACTACTAACTAAGGATGTTTTATGATATAGATTTATATACGTCACAGATAAACATGTTATTTCCAGTTACTTTTACAAAGGCAAAGCTGTCAAAATATATAAACCATTCACTATTAGAACACTCGGTTTTCTACATACATTTCGGACAAGCAGCTACATGTTTACACACTTTTGTAGTATAACAGCAGCTCGGACAACAATTGAAGATCTATTGCACACTGTCTAGATAGATACGTATAAAAAGCTTCGATTTAACATCTCATTCACTCTATTTGAGCGCCCATTGACGGTCTAAGTAAGTCATTCATGTAGTAGAAGAGTGAACAGGGATTGAGTTTATTTTTTAATAGAACGTTGGTAAATAGCGGTCAAGTAGAAGAGGAGAGTTAATGATGGCTATGATTTCTGCTCACGAATGCAACGCCTCCGCCGGCGATTTAATCTAGCGGAGCTCCTGCCTCGCCGAAGTCACTACAAAACGCTGCGAGAAAGGCACAGAAGTAGCTTTTTTCTCAGGTATTGATGCTTTAAAGGAGTATTCATGGGAAACACCTGTAATCGCATTTGTGAGAATACAACATTTGCGTTTTTACGCATTACATCAATCAAATAAATATAATTAATAAGTTCGCTTGTTAAGTCTACATTTTTCGTGAATGAAAAAATTAATGCAGTTATGCTCGATTTAGACAATGTCCATAGGGCGACAAAGTGACAATTAGAATGTGATATATAATTATTATGTATTTTTCTTAAAGTACCGAAAACGTTCAATTCAAGGCGTATAGAAATTAAAAGCTGGTTCGAGAAGTATTTTCTTAAATTACACTCGGCGCAAACGTGTGTTATAAGGCTTCAGCATGCTCAGCCAAATCAACCGATAATAATGTCAGTCTGACATGACAAAATATGTTCCTCCAACGCGCACTCAGAATGTACGTCAGCATTTTTCCCTCAGTCACTAAATGAAGGAAGGCGTTTAATGGAATATGTTCAACCTCACCGCCATTCTCTTGTTTCGCTGATTTGTTTTAATTTGCCGTCTAAGAATCTTCTGTAAACTATAAATAATTTGTTCTTTGATAGCGTCGCGTACGTATTCATTATTTATTAAGTATATTTCAAGATTTATCAAAATTGTATTCTGAAATATTTCTTGATGTCAACGGTAAACCATCACGTCAGTTTCCACTCTTTGTCCATTAATAAAACATTATTGTTATTTGTTTAAGACTGGGTAATTGCACTGTTTGATGGTTACACAGCCGTCATGCGTTCAGTTTCCACCGCGGAAACAATGATACCTAAAAACTGCGAGAATATTTTCTGAGAACTATTTGTTTTCACTATAAAACATGCCCGTTTTGGAATGTGATCTTCGCTTCTAAATCACCACTGTAACATAAAGCCCCGCGCTGAACTTCACATGTACAACTCTGCATATTGCACTGTGTCTTTCTCGACGTGTGGCTTTCGCGCTCAAGCGCGAAATTTCGTTCGCTTCAAATTAATGTAATGCTCTTGATTATTTGTAGAAATCATTGTCTTCTGATTGATAACATTCTACTAGAAATGAGATTTGCGCCAAGTTAAGCATCAAACCGAAAAAGGAACGATGAAGTTTACTTGTTTATTTCTCGCCATCCTTCGTCGTCTGCTCGTGCAGTAAAGAGGCCGCCGCCGCCGCCGGTTAGCTCGAATCGGTGTTCCGTTGCTAAATCAATAATGCTGATTAATGTGTAGTTTTGTCTCTGTGTGTGTCTATGAAAGTTCGTGTTATCATTATTATTACGCTTAAGGGATAAAATTAATTTCATTTAAGGATTCGTTAAATGCCAGCCGATTCTGTCAGCAGAAAATAGTTTGTGGCGAAATTTTTTTCAGCTTCCCAACAAGAACGAAAACGACAGAAATTACACAGCGACGCTGTGATGGCTCCTGCTCTCAAATTTAAGTTTCAGGAGAATGAAAAGGTTTTATGCTTTCACGGTCCCAGTCTCTATGACGCTAAGTGTATTAAGGCACAGGTAAAGCAAGTGTAAATCTGTAAAGATGAAAATAGTCTATGCACTGTTTATTTTTTAGCCCTAGTGAAAACGGTCATTGTTTCAAATGATGTATTGGATGATAAGGCTTCCAATGCGCCACGATATTTAATATCATACCAGAATTGAAAATGTCTGGAAGACAAAATTTCTGTTTAAAACATTTTTCTTTCAAGTGATTTGCAATATGAACATTTTGTAAAATATCTTACGCAGGAATGGTGGGAGCCAGCAACACCTGTGTAGTTCGTTATATATAATTATTATTTGTTTCTATGTAAGATACAGATACATGTATTAGATGAATTGGGTTAACATTAAATATAACAGGGATATTCGTTTATTTACTCGTCCGTAAACTGAGCGTCCTACTAAAAATTTATAACGAATAACATGTGCTTAAAGGCTGCTATAAAGAAAAAGCAAAGGCTCGAGGATTTGATGACTAACTTGGATCAACGTATGTTTTGAATAAGATTAGTTCGTTTTATATGTCAAAATTTCTCGAATTTAGAGACACATATATGCTAAAACTGAAACATACTGAAAAAATTTAACTTTATAAGAATATTAATATCATTGGTTTGGCATCTATAGCTAGAAGATAATTTCGAAATAGATAGCGAAAGCTTTATTAATTGATTTTATAAAACAACCCATGCGGATTCTTGTGGAATTTTGCTATATTTTACAAATAAATTAAAAATACGTTATTTAGTGATCGATGTTTGGTTATAGTGCTTAGTTATAAATGGCCATTAAAATTCCCTTCACCTTTGTTCTTCAGGTGAAAGATAAAACAAATCATTATTTTGTCCATTACCTCGGCTGGAATAACAAATGGGATGAATGGGTACCCGAAAACCGCGTGCTCAAAGTTAACGAAGCCAATCTCGCGAAGCAAGCAGAACTCACGGCAGCGCAACAAAAAGCGCGCAAAGATGGCAGCAAGAAAAATAAAAAACAGGAGGCAAACGTCGTCGTTACGTCGAAGGAAGCAAACGAAAAGGATAACAGTAAACGGGACTCAAGTAGTGGAGCGGCCAAAGATAACGCAAGCATTGGCGGAAGTAGCAAAACCAATAAAAACACCCAGGACAACAAAAAAGACAAGCCCGTTCCGATAGCTGGGTACGTTCATTTATGTTATGCTTTTATCTTATAACTATGTCAATTAGAAATCTTGTCAGTTTCAATAAAAAAAACAAAACGTGAACCAAGACCTATTATATTTATTTAAACAAAACATTCCTAAAGTATATATATATTCTGTCGATTACTTCAATACTCATAGAGCAGAAACATTCGAGGTCAATGCGTCCATTACTCAATTATATCAATGATAAGAAAGATGTTACTATTCCCTTAGATGAATATTCTAGTTAACTTATGTTATAGCTGCATATCTATGTAAGAGAACTGTGGTGCTAGTGTATTGAAGTGATAAGAGTGATGTGAGTATTTGTCTAAACACAAGGTCCCCTACCTGATTAACACCTTTTTAACGAAGGTGTATTGTTTCTGCTTAAACAGCTTAAAGTACGCTACGTGAAACATGCGTGAATTTTAAACACAGAAGCTATTTCGAATAAGAGCTATCGATATCATATGTAGAAGCGGTCTGTTTTGTCACAGTCCGCCATTGATATCGTTTTTCCCTCATTATTTAAGAATGCAGAGTTCAATAAAAGGTATGAGCTTTGAAATTTGACGGCTATCTGAAAAATGCAGGTACATTTGAAATGCTTATAAACATTGCAAGAATTCAAATGGCATCTAGTATTCTATAAAATATTCGACAGCGGCCGAAAACGGCGCGCGATAATGAGCCAAAGCCAGTCTATGGTTGTTCTTGAAGAAAATCATGTTCCTTGATAGAAATATTGCTGTACACGTTTTTGTATAGAAACGAGTGCATTTTTGGCGCCATAGTGCTGTTTGTAAGCCTATCCTTAAGAGTGCTGAAATTAGGCCAGAATCACCAAATACATTCAGGACTTTCAAACCATATTTAGGTTCTCTGTGTCTATGATGTATGAAAGGCATCGCTATAGTGTTTAGAAATGATATGCTTCAACATAGTTCTTTCTCTTTACTAACGCTTTTTAGGGGAAAAAAGCGAGAAACGCCAGTGACAACTGGTGGTAAAGATAAATCATCGATCATTACATCAACCATCGCTGAAGATCAGCCGAAGAAGAAAAAAGCGAAAGCAGAACCCGGTCAAGCTGATCGCGAAGAGCCGCATTATACACAGAAGGTTGAAATCCATGTAAAAATACCGGACGATCTTAAGGATCGGCTAGCTGACGACTGGGACTTTATATGCCGTCAAAAGAAGCTTGTCAAGCTGCCATGCGAATTCACTGTCGATAAAATCCTTGATGAGTACCTCGTACAAAAAGTCAGCGTGAAAGGAACCACTCCGTGCAAAGAATCTATTGTTGCAGAGTTTACAGCAGGTGCGTTGAACGATCCGATTTACTTATTTAGTTCAAGCTACACACGAGATGAAAACCTTGATATTTGCCGAGCTCAGTCCAATAAATGTAAATGTGTGTTAATAAGCATAGCACATCGTGGCCTGAAGTGAACAAAAATGTAGTCGAAATGCGCGCATATAAATCCCTCCTTTATATATTAATTAAAAATACCATGTCGCACGTAAACATTTTCGCTTTTTTTCAACCCAAATTCTTTTAAATTTGTGTGTATTGACCGTTGATTGACTGAAGATTGTTAACTAAAGTGTTGCATTTTTTGTGTAATGTGCTTTTATTTTCTAGGCCTTCGTTGCTACTTTAATTCGATGTTGGGTAAACACTTGCTATATAAATTTGAGCGTCCACAGTACGCGCAGTTATTGGAAGAACATGGAGACAGGATGATGTCGCAACTGTACGGCGCCGTTCATTTGCTACGCATGTTTACCCTCCTTGGTCGTTTTGTTTCATATACAGCGTTGGATGAACGCAGCGTTCAGCTGCTGCTTTCACATTTACACGACTTTCTCCGCTATATGGGCCGCAACGCGCAATTCTGCGATCGTTCTGAGTATATGATAGCTCCTCCTGATTATCACCGCCGAGCGATGTAATCTCGCGATCTCTTGGTAGTGATTTTATTTTTACCCGTTGGCTAAGCTAAGCTGTTTGCATAGCGAAACAGCCGAACTCTACCAATCATTATCACAATGTGACTTGGAACTAAAACATGCGGTTTTATTCAACGTAGCCGCATGTAACTGACAGCAAGAGTTGAAGCAAAACGAGCATCTCAGGCCCCCACCAAACCGATCTTTCAATCATCCCAATTCGACTGACTTTTTGTATTTGTGAAGACGGAGAAGACATGTATAGGCAAGTCATTTTGAGATACGTGACTGGATTCAGTAGGCTCATTAACACAGAACCGTTGTGTTATTTGTACGCAGTTAACGAATAATAAGAAATAATATGGCGTGCACCATTTACCCTCAACTGAGTGCTCACCCGCATTTTCACGTATCTGTTTTTATTTCGAATTGCACCTTTATGTAGTTGTAATTGTGCCGGTAAAGTAAACAATTCTGTGACAAGCATAAATATAACGTTCAATAATTTTAGCTCTGACCACTTGAATTTTCTAAGGGAGTTGGAATGACATGTGTGCAAGGAAGCCAATCCCACTGATGGCTTGTGTTATGGATAACCTTTATTATGTCTTATATCTGACTTATTATTTCAAATTCGAATGTATATTTGGCTTTCGACATTACGTAAACAAAATTTTCTAAATTAAGTTCCAATATGGATATGGGAGAGCAATTCAAAGTGCTGAGGAAGCTTTTTAGATTTTGCTGGAAAAATGAAGTGCGTACTGATAACTTCATAAGGAAATGTCTCGTTACTACCTAGCTCACGTCTCCAAAACAATTCGCTTCGAGAGGAGCTTGTAAACCTAGTTCTACCATAGAATGATATTTTCTGCGGTAGCTCGGGGTGTTTTCCAAAATTTTAAAAGAACCCTGTCATTTCCCGTTCCCTATTTCCTTCTGCCTACTTAACATATTGATTGGATGAACAAGAGCCTATTCAATCGTTCACAGAGCAACTCAGATCTATTTTTGACAACGATGAGTTTAACAGTAGATTTTAACTCCGGGCGGCCTTGGATATAAGATTCAGAGAATGATGTTTCTGAATATAGTTCCCTAGATAAATTGTACAGAACCAAACACGGATTGCGGCTCTGTATAACTTATCCAGGGAATATGTATTATAGACCTAAGTAAGTGCAGGTAACTGGGGTAGTGTAAAGGGAAGTCCACATTGAAAAATTTTGTACTAATTTGAATAAATCTAAAAATTATGAGGGCTTGGTATGCAGTCGAAATCAACATATATTGTGATAGGCGGCCATATGTATTCAACTACAAGTATGTGGAAACATTTAGCACTACTGTCTTCTATTGATGATTACCACTATTATTTTTTTTATTTAGACAACTATGTTTCGACTTACTATGTATAATCACAAAAAAACCCTTACAACGTATTTACATAACGTTTTGGGGTAACTTTGTTTGCTCTCTTTGTTTTACAATGCTCTTCGCTTTCACTCTGGTGCATTTCGCCATACGCGGATATCATTATTGTTATGCAGGAAGTAAGCAAGCGGTAAATAACCGTGTCCTGTAGTCCTAAACCCGCCACCGAGTCCTCATGAGCATTTTGTATATATCCACTACTGTATTACAATATTGTTTTATCGCGTTCACTTCATTTGTATTTAATATATGCAATTTCATGATTATACGAGTGAAATTTCCCTTCGCATTTGCCCAGGACATTTACTGATATGATTGAGGTATTGTCGACAGTTCAAGACTTTTTACTTCTTTAATACATTATTATTATATTTTACGAGGACTATTTGGTACAAAAATGAAAATTAGAACAAAATAATCAATGCATATCCGTGAATGTTAACGGCCGACTCGAAAGCTATAGTGACTCGCTGAATCGTAGTGCCGATCAACACAGAATCTGTTGAAGATTGTTTTAACAAATACTGAGCTCAATGCCGTGATCGTCGACGACACCTGCGTCACTGGACGGCGAATACGATGCCGTGTTCGTGAAATATTGCGACTACAAAAAAAAGCCGTCGGATCACTGGATTAAAGTCAGGGTCTCCGTTCGTCACACTGTTGTCTCTTAAGTTCAAGATTTAGCGATGATTCAGTGTTTCGGCGATCCGATACTTAAGCCTTAAATCTTGAAATTCAGGTTGATGATATCGCTATCTCAAAACTTGATCTGAAAAAAAGTGGTAACAGTGGAGACTAAAATAGGTACAACCTATTTATGAATAAGTCGACCCAGTTAGTAGTACTTAGGGGAAGGAAAACGATATGGATTATTACGATGTTTAATTGTCGACAAGAATAACATGAAAAAATCGCTGGGATTCCCGAAAAAATTTTAGTTATACTAATAGCTCATTGTAATAGTCAAAATTGCCAATGCACTGTTTTTCAGTCGGAAATCCTCAACATGTAGACAATGTAATGTAAGATCCAAATATGAGTTTTCATTTATAGAAGCCAACAAAAACTTCTAAATTAATTAATATTACTAATATGAATCAATGATGAAAACTGCTGGGCTCTTTACCGAAAAATGGAAGAATCAATTTTCCGTTTCCTGAAATATTAAATGTACATACATAAAATCTATGAGTATATTAAAAGGCTGTCAACATTAGGTAAAATTATATACATATAATAAAGCATCAGCGTTGTACAGTTATCATAGGGTGTGTCCATAATTCATTCAACCCCTTTAAGACCTGTGTGTTTTACCTGAGTCAACGGGCGTACTAAATCATTATGGTATCCTAGCGAGTTAGTCATCGACTCTTCTATTTTAACCTTAACAGGTTTTCTTGAACGGATTTGTGGTCACACAGTTCTGCGATAGTAATCTGCACTACAAAGTAAGGAACAAAAGCCCGAACGCTTGAGTCAAAAGCCTGCCATCATAAATAAATTCAATATTTGTATGCAAAACTAGTTCAATCTATATGCAACTGTGTCTAACGGTAGTCACTCACGCAAACGAAAACCCGCGTTTATGATGAAGTCATTTTGTACCATTTATATAATGTGGTTATGATGTATATTTGTTCATCACCGGATTGTAAAAGCTGTCGTCTTTTTCCAAAACAGACTTTTGGTTTCCCTAAGCTCCCGTAGAGCTGTCAGGAATACAGAATGCCTTTCCTTTTGAATTCCATTCCCATTCCAAATTTTCGACAAATGAAATGGTTATAGGCTATTTTTCGATATTTGTGTCTTGTGAAGACATGATTATAATTAGGAATGTGACGGATCAAGTTTTCATGCATGTATGTGTAAGCATTACTAATGTTATTTTGTATATGTACAAGTGATTAATTTATAAAGATTGTATTAAAGACAAACTAATTATTAAAGTTTGCGTTTTAGATACAAGCGCTGAAGGCTTTCCATACCACTGTCATTACAGAAAGCTTGGACATCGAAGCTTATTGGGCATTACTATTTACTTGATTATTTGATTCACACATTTAATTTATCATAGCATGGGTCTTTAAAGTAGGCTAATACTATTTTAATTTCTCGTAATGCTGTTTTGAAGTTGTAGTGGCATGGAAAACGAAAAAAATTCACAGATGTTACCTAACCTACAAATGGGTGCGTTTTGCTCGAATAGTGGCGAGAATACTACAGTACAAATGACATTTTGGGAAAGAAGATGCGGCAGGCGAACATGGGTGGGCTGGCAACGACATTGTGAGAAAGACGCGCGACTCTAGTTGCGGAGCAAGCGAGCGTTTTATTCGATTAAGACTCTAGACTTTAAAATATTGCGTCAACGATTACTATAATAGATTTACAATCGTCATTTCCCAAAGGGAAGCACTGAAAATCGAACTTCAAACAGAAACCCAAATTTCACGTTGCTGCGGGGATCTCTCATGAGCGCTTTTGAAATGCTATCTTTAATCAACTGGAGTCGCTCAGGGCGAAAGAAACTAGAAATCACCGGCGATCAACTTCTGGTGACAAGTACGAACTTAGTCCGCATATATCGATTCGAACGTAAACAGAGTTGAGTAGATCATAGTAGTAACTCAGTACTGCTGTTAATTAATATAAACTCAGTTAGTATCTCTCATAATTATGTTGGGCTCAATTCACGGTTAATGCAGAAAATTACTTTAAATTGATCTAGTCTTTAGTATTACCTCGCAGTGCGGTAATTGTTGAAAACAAATTCCGTAATATTTCTTATAAATATAATAAAAATAATAGTAGAACCCATAAAGCATTCGATTGTGACTTTACCGAATTGGACGTATTGTCGAATACGATACGGGAAATACTGTAATACAAAGGTAGTCGATAATACAATGAGTTGAAGCATTTCATCTCTAATTTACAGCCCTATATTTAATCGTTGCTGCCGTTTGCCTTCTATAGCTTGCTTAGACACTCCTCTAAAAATTTTCATTAAGTGTTTAAATCCCCCTTTTGCAAAGTTTGCCATAAACCCTTCTCACTAAGATAGCTTCGTACCTTCTTATGCAAATAATATCATTTAACAGAGTTGCAGCCTCCTTTAATTTAAATGTTATCACTATTAAATTAACAGGCAGTTTATATGATTGAGTTATCCTATATGTTCACCAGCTATTGAGTAATAAAAAAAAAACAGCAGGTTTTTTTCTAGTTTTCACATAGGAAGGAACAGGCCATTGCGTTCTTGCGCTCGGATCACGCGAGAGTTGGGGATCACGATTTTTATGAAATGGTGACAGCGAAAACGGAATATTCGTCTTTAGTAGGGTTGTGTTAAAAATAATGACCCTAAAGATCGTTGAATCCGTTGTATAAATAAAAACGTATAGACTTTTTTGTCAGCAGAAACAAGCGTAAGGTGTCAAAAGCGGTAAACCTCGCTTCGACGCGAACCTGAGAACGAAAAACAAGCCGTAAAAACCTAGCATAGATCTTCGATTTTGTTTAAGATACTTGGACTCACACAATTCTGACCTAGAGTAAGGTTTTTGTGGTTTTAAGGTATTTGTTACTTGATAGCTATACAAGTAACGAAGATTTACATAACCTAAACAACAATGAAAACGCAACACCAATTACTTTGTTTTTTTTTAATTTTTTTAATACCCGTTCTACACACATTATATATAA